TTTGAGAGTGCGCAAATATTCCAAGGACAGCAAACTGTCGAAAGCATAATTTTACTCCCTGATAAATATGAATCGCTATCGTTAATGTAAACCGAACCTAATGCAAACGGCTAGTTAATCAGTGACTGGCGAAGAATTTAATGAAATTTGTTTCTCGATCGCTCGCAAACGCATGCTTTTTAATTAAAATTATGCAAATCCATGATTAATGGCGCGACCGAAGAATCGACGCGAGTAATGATCAACAGAATATTTAAATACGAAAAAAATATTCATTTTAAATGTGTTTCCGCGCCGCACAAAAAGAATACATTAAATCATAGAATGGCTTATCAATCGATTGCTTAGTGTGATAAAATATGTCGTGAAGACAGAAATCGCACAACTATTTTTTAAAGTTTAACGAAATATTAGCAAATAGAATATAATTTCTTTAGTCATATTTTGACTATTATATACATATATAGTAAATTAAAATAAATTAAATAAAAAAAATTTTTTTAATTTTATATATAAAGTTAATTAATTTATAAAATTAATTTTTATGAATTTTATTAATTTTTAATAAAATTTTAATATTATTTTTTTTTAAAAGGCAATATGTAACATTGCAGGAGTCGTATACAACAAAATAAACGTGTATAATTTCAACCTTTTCACTTTTTTTTCTTCTTATAAACAAAAGTACGAATTTTATGAACAACCTATACAACGTATACATACACACATGGATATATATATGTATATATATATATATATATTTTTTACGGTACTTGTAAGGTATTTTTTTATATTATAATAATGTTATAATAGATTAAAAAAAGTAATTTAATAATGAAACCACACGAATTTTACGCACGATATCGCGTGATTAGCGCATCAACTTCTTCTCTTCTTGCATTAATGCTTTGAACAATGTACTGAAATTTTATAACATTTGCCCCTTTTTTTGTTACGCGAACGGAACATTGAGTCACGTCAATGATCGGTTATGAATAAGATATCCTATTGTTTTATTGAATAGAGCTGGACGTAATAATAGCGTAAAAACTATAGATTAGAGACCAGAAACCATAGGCAAAAGATCATAAAGCAGAAATCATACAACAAAGACCAGAAGCCAAAAAATGCAATTATTGGAAAATAAATTTAAAGCTTTAAACATGAGGAATTGCAATATAAATTGTAATCTAAAGATAACAATTATAAAATAGAAATAATTAATTTAATATAATTTAATATGTTTATACAATTATACTGATTATGTGTCATCAAATTGAATTAATACTACAATGTTATAAATATTGATATATTAACTATTTATTGTTCAAAAAATAATCATATTTATAAAATTGTCTATAAAAAGATGTACATGTTTTTCGTTGATACATTAAAAAAATATCTATATATGCGGCCATTAATGAAATCTTATGGAACTTTTTGTAAAATAATTGAAATAACATTTAGATGAGAACTCTGTGTATAATGAGACTATCCGAATGGTTGAAATTTGGATATTGTGCACGATCCGTTTCCGTAATAATAATATATGTAATATCAGAGAAAATATCGATTGAATTAATAGATACGCGAATGTGATTTTGCGATAATAAATAATGCGAAAATTAAGCTCTCATGCAAAATATATGATATTTTTGTGCATGATCAACATTTCAAAGTGCAAATAAAATTTTTCAGAAAAATATAATCTATGTATGTATATAATAATTAAAAATTAATAATCAGAAAGAAGACATATATATATATTTCCTATACATTTATACACGTGTTTTTAAGAGAAATTTGTCGCAAAAGTTAAAATTTTCAACTTTAAATGTCCATTGAACGAAAATACGACATTTTTTTGGTGAGTTCGAGATGATGTGTCGAAAATCTGTTATCGGTTTATGAGTCGCCGTAGGCAGTAGACGATGAACGATATAGTTGTACCGAAACGGTGCAAAGCATATTTATATTTGATTTTTTATTCGCTCTCTGATATATTTACCGTTGGACAGTTTTTGTAATGCTCGCGATGAAATAAATGAATGCTACGTTATCGAAATTTACGCGTGCCTTTTGCTGAAAATGTATTTACAAAAATCCTATTTTCCAAATCCTATTTTTATTGTACCTCAGAGTAAAGGCAAAAAGTAAATCACCGTTTCAATAGTTGTCTCAATGTAAAGTGTGAAAATTTATAGTGAATTGCATTGAGAAAATCTACAAAAAAAAAAGACTATAAACCGGAGGTCAAAGAATAAAAATTATTTTTTAAACCAGAGATCACATAAACTATAGACTAAAGCCAGAAAGCGTAAACCATCAGATCAAAGACCAGAAGGCATAGAAAACTAAAAAAAAAAAAAAAAAAAAAATAAAGCGTATTAAATATCCTTTTAAAGAAACTAATGGAATGGAAATATAAATAAATGTATTGTACTTTTTCTTGCGAAAAGAAAATGGGGTATCGAGAGGGGTTAATTAAATATTCGGTAGACTGCACTCTTAGAATTCGCTTGTTCTTTTATTCGCATTCCGCTTGCTGCGCCTCGGGTATCGAAAAGTTTACGACAGAAATGAATAAAACAGCAGGATTTTCCGAAATAATTTCCACAAAGTCGAGCAACTACGAAGAGTTGTCTTGGGGTCGCATATAATTCCAAAATTAATATTACTCAGCGCATCTAATAATTGTTCTCAAACACGTGACGTCTATTTGCCGCGATTCTCACGCAATTGTTTAAATTATTATATTCTATACACTTTCACTCCAGATGCATCTCTCTCCCTCTCTCTTTCTCTCTCTCTCTCTTTCTTCTTAGCCCCTTCATCTTCCCGACAACTCCAAAGTTCCAAGACTTTCTGTCGTATTGCCACGGAAATTCCCCTTCCGAGATACCGCAAAGTTTCCACAAGACAGGATTTTAATATTACTTTTATATTACCTTATTATTGCTCCCTTATTCTATTTATAAGTAATGCCGTACGATGAAAATGCGGCAAACGTATAAAACATGAATATATATACTGTCTCACGCGAACGATAACAATCTACCGTAATTATCTCGATTAATTCGTCTTGAAAAATCTTGGGAATCTGGAGGGCGAGATAAAATCGATGGAAACATTTAATAAATGCAGATCTTTCGATTTTACGACTTAATGTACAAGCTATCTCGTTCTCTCGGAGACGCTCGTTCTATCTAAAGCCGCCGATATTGCTGAATCTATCGCAGCCTTATCGGCCTTCATTAGGCGAATCGCGTCGAAGTGGGAGAAAGAAAACGCGCGAGGGAGCAAGAGGGACGGTGTAATTCCACGAGAAATTCAGAGTCACCACAGTCGAATGCCTCGCGCTGCAGAGAGCCTCTCTCCCTCGCCATAATCCGATTGCGCCTCTCTCTTCTTCTTTCCTGGCTTTGCGCGCGCATCCCTCCGTTTGCCTTTCAACTGATAACTAGTAATTAAACAGCTCCAACAACGGGATAGGGCATTTACTCGCGCAATTCCCTGCCCCCGCATTTCTTCAACACCTAGCTCTCTCTCTGTTACTTTACTTACCACTACTCTAACGTTTTCTCTCCGCCTCGTCGCGTCGCTTATTCTACATCCCGTAACTCCACTTTCAGAGCTATTGTCCATCGCGCGAGTTGTCCGTACAGGGATGCCGGGAGAGGTAGAGAGAGAGAGAGAGAGAGAGAGAGAGAGAGAGCACGTGGATGCCCACGGGAAATTATTAGTTGTGAATCTATTCATCTTACCGGAGAAAACCGCTACGGGATATCCTGATACGATTCTCAATACGCTCCGTAATAAAACTGGACGCGCAAGCGCTTCGAAATCTCTAGCCCAGAGGGCATCCAGCCGCTCCGGACCAGAAAATGTGGAATGCCCGCTTTAATGCCGGGAAAATGATTAAAAAAAAATGTATATGGTGTGATTAAACAAGCGGAGGAATAATACGAATTTTCGACAAGGAGCTAGACCAGAGATAATAGATAGCGTGGCGCAGGAACGCGACAATTAAAATGAATGTGTACACTATCCTAATGAAAAGCAAACAATCTACTTATTGTTAGAGATCCGAAAAGTGTGACGTTGTATGCGTATATCGCGAGATGCATGCGTGCATGACATCGATCCGCGAGAAGAATCGAGAGAGAAACGAAGCGAGATGATGGGGAAAAAAATGGGGGCGAAAGAAGGAAACGAGCGGCGCGCACACAAAAAAATGAAAACGAGAAAAAGCGAAGAGGGAAGGAGGATAAATTGCACGGACGACGCGGATTTATTCGAGCGCGATACGTTACCGTGCGATACGTGTGCGATGCGACTTGGCGTGAATCGACGAGCTCGCGATACTTTTGAGCGACGACGTCACTTTCGCTCGACAGACAATACGAATTTCCGCGATTTGACGAGAGAATCAGCGAGGGATATGGTAATAGCGAGGGATATGGTGGCAGCGGCGACGGTGGTTGAAAATCACCAGGGGAAGAGAGAGAGAGATTCTTTCTCTTCTGGAAGGAGCGAGAGGGATTCTTCTTACGGTAGAATAAGCCCGCTCTAATTCGCCGATGATAGTTATCAAGTTAGCTGGCTTCTGACAGTTTATCCGAATACGCGACGAATTTAAAATAAAACCGCGCCGCGATATGAATTCCATATCCGCGTTCCGATGCGATGCCGTATAAGCGACTGACATATTCTGCTGCAGTTGATATCGTTTTTTCGATCTCTTCCATTGTCTACAATTTGGAGAATAGCTCTCTCCTGTCCTCTCGTTCTCTTTCTTCCCCTTTTCGTCTAATGTAGATATCATTTTTACTTCTACCACAATGTGTTTCAGTGACAAATTTTTTATCATCCCATTCAATTTTCTCCGAATAAAAATATCTAGTTGGAAGAAACGAGAAATAGTTAGAGAGAAGTTATGAGAAAAAAAATACCAAAACGCAACATTTAATGGTCGTATTTTTCCTTTTTTTTGCTTTCAGGTGATTTCTCGCTACACATATATCCGGTGGAACTCGAGGACGACGGTACGTATCAATGTCAGGCTTCGCCGACAAACGACGGACAGCCGGCTTTACGATCGAGATTTGCCAGGCTGAGTGTGCTAGTGCCGCCGCAGAAGCCGAAGATACTGCAAGGAGACTTCCTCGTCACCACGGAGGATCGCGAGTTGGTGATCGAGTGCATAAGCGTCGCCGGAAAACCGCCTGCCGAGGTGAGAAACCTTTCGTCTTTGCGCATCTTCTGGCATCTTTGTCAACATATATATTGACAGGATTACCCGGAGATTAAATCCGGATTAATCGCCGTGAAAGCAATCCCTGGCGATTGCACCCGGAAACTTCGCGGATATCTCTCGGCGATGGACAGTACATCCCGCCCCAAGGATTATGTTCGATCGATATTATGTCAAAGCGTGCCTCTTGTTTGCACGCGTTCGAAGAGGTTTCTATATTGCACGAGTAGATTATATTATACGCACAAATCGAGATATTAATTACTATTACAAATTTTTTTAATAAAGATAAATGATTCTCGGTTTTATATACTGAAAAAAAAATTAATTCGACTACATCTTTCAACTAAATTACTATTTTGTTAATTGAACACATATTAGTCGGTATTTAAGTCAAATATACGTTTTGTTAGACTTAATATATCATATTTAACTTAATTATTTATTTTTATATGTTCAATTAACAAAATGATATTTAGTCAAAAAGTTTAGTCAAATATTTTTCAGTGTACATATATTTCTTTAATAATTAATTTCATACAACATGGCATATATAAAAATATTTTATGCCAGCGTGTATTAAGGTTTAACGTTGCTAGCTGAGTTATAGTCACGGATCTGTCGTAAAAAAAGGATGAGCATATCAAATCCTTTTGCTTGTGTCAGATCGTTACGCGGAAAAATATCACAGTAAATTTTCTGTGTACTAAATTATTAAATCGATGAAGCGTGATTCGAAGCTATTCTTGTCGCGTGAAAATAAACAGATCGCCGAGTAGCTGAATAATATTGCTCGTCAAATTAAGCCTAGAAGCTTTCGTGTTACACGGATCTAGAATTAGTAACGCGAGTCTCCAGAAAATATAGCATCATCATTATTATTATTATTATTATTCCTGATTAGCTGAACCAAAAGTGGGAATCTCCGCGAGCAATACGCTTAGTAAATAGTATTCGAATCTGTCTTAAAAATCTGACCAAATAAGCCGCATTTTCTTGTCGGTTCGGTAAGTCCACTCAGCAGAAAACGCGGTGGTTCCGCGCAACAAAAACAACCACGAATCACGCTCAGTGACCACGGAGTTTGAGATTTATGTGGGTTACCTATGTATCCTGACACACATTTAGTCCGTCAGTTAATACTGATTGCCTCAGCAACGCTCCTCGCGTCACGTAAACTCATACGTATAAAATACAAAAATTCGAAGGATTTCGCAAATCAGTTTGAAAAAAAAGATATAATTTATGTTAAAGTAGTTATACAATAATATAAATTATTTTTGTTAACAATTATTGCTTTTGTATTCAAAATTAATGTATAACAATGACTTGAATTTTTAACATTAAGAAAAAAAATTTAACAATCTTTATAAAACGTGTAATATGTTATATAATATAATTATCCTGGAATAATATATCGTTAAAATAATGAATAAAATAAATGTTTAGATATACAGTAATATTTAAAATTCTGCTGTTAAAAAATACATTTCTCGCGATAACTAGCTGTGTATCATGAGTTTTATGGAATTGTGTGTTCTTTGTATGAAGAAATTATATAAGAGAAAGGATAAAAATAACCGTGTGCTCCCTGTGCGATCTTTGTTTTTCGTTCTCTTAGGCAAATGTACTTTGCACGGTAATTTCATTCGCACTCGTGACACAATAGTAAATGGTACTGCACCGCGGGACCGCAGAACTCCTAATTAGAGCGGACGAGATCGATTTCCTGTGGAGGCCGCAGTTAGAAAAGCGGCTGCAAGTCCGCCTCGCGCGCGAAAGGACGTCAACAAAAAGCATATTCGATGCGTTGATTGCAAGAGAGAAGGCAAATCGTTGCGATTTCCGGTATTTCTACCACGACTCAAGTTGCCTTCATATTTATGGGAATGCATTATACTCTTCTCAAGTTTGAAATGTAATAACTTTAGCATCGTGCCATTCGTGCGAATCAGCAACACTGAATAATATGTTATAATATTACATATCCTCGTTGCACATGTGTGCTCAATTGCATTCTAAAACACGTACTCGAAACTTTGTAATTTATTATGCAGAATGTTCCAAAAAAATATTTATAAAATGGATTATGTAACACCGGTTATTATTACAGATATTCTATACTAGATATTTCAATCAAACATTGTAACATTTTTCTTGTTTTTATATACAATATAATACACAATAAAAAAAATAATACGAGAGAATGTATAAATATTGGTATATTTTGTATTGTTTTTTAAATTTAATAAATATGAATACGATAAATTGCGCGTCACTAATTAGAAAAGCAAAGAGTTATCAGAATAATCACGAAATACTTGAAAAGTAAAAATATTACACGAGAGAGACTCGCGCGCAGTAAAATTGACAAATACTTAAATACATCATAAAAATGGTGCGTGCCGAGTGCATAAATCATGGTACGATATCGTCAATTCTAATCAGTACGGCGGTGCTGTGTGGAAATACGATTATTCTAGTGATCCCTAACGCGGTGAACGCGGAAGGACGCTGCGGCACTTGCAGGCCGGAGATCTCATATCGATAACAAACAGCGGGAACTCTCGCATGAGGTGTCTAATTAGAGCCGATAAGCTTGATTTCCGCGACACGCATGCACATATGTACGCGTACGTGCGAGTGCACGTCCGTGCACGACTGTGTTTGAACAGGCCCGATAGAACAATCATGTTACTCAATCATTATGCACGGAAATTCGTTCGCAGCTTTAGTATTAATTGGTTGTACGCATCCCACCCGACAACTTCGAGACTATTGATTTTTATCCATTCGCGCAGTGGAATAAATTATGCAGCGTGATATTTTTAAAATTTCTTGCTCCAATTAATATTTTGAAACAAAATTCGATATATTATTCCAAAGATATTTTAGATATCGTCAATTAACTATACCGATGCGACGGCAGGATAATGTGTGTTTGTTGAAACAATTTTCTAAAAAGCGGTTAAAAAAAAGTTTGAACTTTTTAAAACCCAGGGGTACCATTATGGTAATAAAAACATAAGAATTCCGGTCACGGGTCAATTCCCTCGTGCAGGTGTTTTCTTGAGCTACGCTATTTTTAACTGTAACGTTTCTTGCAGATCACGTGGATCGATGGACTGGGCAACGTGCTACATCGTGGCATCAAAACCTCGAAGGAGCTGTTCGATAACGGTCCTCTCCACACGGTAAAGTCCACCCTGAGAGTGATGCCGCGGAAGGATCACGACAACACAACCTTCACGTGCCAAAGTCAAAATGCGGCGGATCGTTCGCCGCAAAGCGCCAAACTACGCGTCGAGGTACGTACCGATAATTAAAGCCGAGTCCTAACAAACAAACGAGGTCCTACTTTGCATAGTTTTGATAAAACTCTTGTGAGTTAACTTAAGACACTTACGCGCGCTTTTTCCTCCGGAAAAATATTACGGACTAATATTCTGAAATAAGTCTGTGCGTAGAAACCGTCAACGAGAGAAATCAGAGAAGAATAAAAGAAAATAAAGGCAGAAGAGAGAAAGAGAGAGAGAGAGAGAGAGCGGGAGAAGAGAAGAGAGAAGATAGAAATCTCGCTTAAAGGGAAATAAAATCACTGCCTTTTGCGCGCTCTTTTACTCGCTGACCGGAGGAAGAAATTAACGCGAGTCGCGCGAAAGCGCGGCCGGGACAGGGGGTGGAAGGAGGGTAACGAGGGTAACGAGGCGACGTATAATAATTAACGTCGTGTCTTGAGAAGCGGTTAGCGCGCGGTAATCGCCATCCGCTGGCGCAACTTTCGTGCTGCGAACGCGCGAGTTACTTTGGCGCGCTCTCCGGGTACTACTTCCGCCCTCTTTTCTTTAGAGACGTAGACTCCATTATCCGAAGTGGCAAAGGGAACAAATAGTTTCATGGAAAGGGCAACGAAGCGAACTCAACGGAGATTTTGCCCCGGCAGAACATTCGAATTTGCGACGACGTCGTCGACGACGACGACGAGAACGAGGACGGCGCAGAGCGATATTATGAACCGGCGCCATGCCGCGCCGGCCTCTGCAGAAAATTCTCACGAGTTATTACTCAACTCTTTTACCGAGTCGAATATATATCGCCCGCGCTCTTTCCCCGACTGTTAATATAAGTTCGACGTTAATATCGTCCTAATTGGAAGCGATTCTTACGCAGGCGAGTTCGAGCGAACTCTCGTATTTTCTCACGACGTGCTTTTTCTTTATTACCCGCGTCGATAAAGCTATTTAATGTTCGATATAGGAAGTGTCTCCTTTTTATTACATTTTTAATGGCAAATTTTTCTTTCGGCAATTTATATATGGTAGACTCGATTTCTGCTAAGGTATTTATCATTAAAAAATAATTTCGTCCGATCCCTCTCTCATGGATTATTAAATTAATTCGATTTTTGCTTGGAAGAAAATTTAATCAAATACCATCTTATACATCGTAATATCTTAATATAATATTGTATAATATTGATTTTATAAATCATAATTCAATATCTTTCGTGTATATGTGCATGTATAATTAAAGTATCGTTAAATTAAATTTTTCAGTTAGAGTTACTTAAAATATAATTAAGGATTAAATTTCCATCTTAAAGGTTAGCTCGTAAGAAATATTTGTCTTTAATCTCATTTGTAAAAATATTAGATTCTTTAACATTTTTCTATTGTAAAAATTATTCTAGCAGTGAAACAATAAATCTATATATGAAAGATCACAGTTCTGAACGAAACTGTAATTTAAAAAAAAAAACAGAAAACTAAATTTTAATGACAAATATGATAACAGTTCGAAAAAGTTACGGATAAAAATACTTAAAATTGAACAGCTAAAATTTCGTTTTATTCCGGAAAAGTGTATCGAGTTTGAACGATATATTACGGGATATATCTCATATTTCCCCGATGAATATATATAACGAACGTTTCGAAAATTTTAAACGCGCGTGTGGTAATGGATATGCATCATTATTATTCTACGGGCTACGCACGTTCGGGATGAGAACATGACGATAATATCGAACGGGCCATATTCAATTCCTGCGTGATAAGCGTTTAGGAAACGGAAAAAAAGACTGTGAAACTGTATCTCGACTCACCGGTTCTGTTTGTTTTCAGGTACGTTACGCACCGAAGGTGTCCCTCTCGAAGATCGATCGTATAGTTGAAGGCTCCGAGCTTAGGTTCAAATGTTGCGCCGAGGCCAATCCATCCGAGGTGGAATACAGGTAACTGAAAATATAATACGAAAGAAATATATATCGATGTTTGTTTTATTAATATTAGAAATAGAGAAATTTAAATATACATTCTGAGCTGTCGCGATCGAGAGGGTGAAGGAATATTTCAGAATAATTAATAGTTGCATAAATACTTTTGAAGAAATCATAAATTTGCGTCTTCCTACAGGAAAGAGTGTAAAAAGCTAATAAAATTCCAAGACTAATAAGATCATTTATTTATTGCAAATAAAGTAAACTTCATGACTTATGAGCAATAACTAGGAAGTGTATCCCGAATTTTGCTGCTCTCTTATTTGATAAGAAAAATATAATTGAACGTAGATTTCAAAATAAACAAATCATTTAATATAGTTACTCTTACCTATCTCCGTAATAAGAGCAAAATATTGATTACAATAAGAAAAGCTGAGTTATTAAATCGCAGATATTGATAATCGAATCATTTTCTTGTAATATCGAAAATAATTGTCCTCAAAAAGACGACGACTTTTCGTGTTTTAATTTGTTTAAAATTCCATTATGACAAACTATTTTTCGATATTTTCGATGCATGTTTATTTGAAAAAAAAATATCAATATATAGGGGAAAAATTGTCATCTTTTTGTATGCGCATATAATGCAATATAATTGCAGTGATCCGGCTTTCGTATCAGTCCCCCCCATTTAAAGCGATCCATTCTCCGTAAGCCTTAAGCTACTTAAAGTTTCCAAAATATCGATAGTTTCTCCCAGTATCGCGTCGCTACAGGTGAGCGATGCCGTCGGCGTATAAGCAAAACGTGAGTCGCGTTGTTCGTGTACACTGGCTGCGAGCGACAAAGAGAAGGCGGATGATCGATATCCGCCTCTACAAAGAGGACAATGTCAAATTCAGGACGGCGTTGCGCGCGCACGTGTTAACGCGTGGGGCGCGTTTGCGGGGTCTCACTCCGCTTTGATTGCTTTTAAATTATTCGTTACGCAACATCCCCGTCGGGAAAAAAGGAACGTCCGCGCCGTATTAATTTATACGCGATTATCGGATCGTCACTTGGATTAAATCGGCTCAACAAAAATGTCGAGCTTCGAGAAAGAGCGAGAGGGCGCACGTATTGTGCTCGCGGAGAACATAATGCCGCACCTTAAAAAAAAAAGCTCCCTTCGAGAACTTTATATACATATAATATCGACGTAACGTGGTTCTCCGACCTTTCATTATATTATTTTACCACATTTCACCGAGTGAATTTCGTAAATTAGCTTGATATAATTAACGACGGAGGAGAAATATTTCAACTTATCGCAGAAAGTGCTGGATTTAAGCTCTCTTTTTGCGAGCATAAACCGAACGAGACGGCTTTTTATGCGAATACAAAAGCTCGAAATCGATTTTTTTTTTCTTTGAGTTGTCACAGTTCTCTTTCTGGCATAGGCAATGTGTGTTGAAACTTGATGAAGAAAGAAAAAAAAACTCTTGACCAGCTTATGGCGATTCACAGATAATAGGATAGACGGAGAAACGAGTAAAGAGCAGCCAGAGGACCACATAGTAGTGAGGATAACAAACGTTAGTTGCCAGTCGCTTTAACAGCTTTTATAGCTTTCGCAGCTTTTTGCAGCTTTTTACACCGGTCGTCGTCGCGCCACGGCCCATAAAAGAGATACGAACGCAAGTGAAAACTGAGGCAGGAACGAGAGATCGACGACGTGACTCTCGTTGCCTTCGCGCAGCGTTGAATAACAAAGACAGAATCATTATCCGCTATGGATCGTATCAGTATTTCTGGATGATCATATTACAACGAATAACTGTATAAATTCTCGAGAGAATAAAGAAAAAGATATGAAACGGGGGAAATTTAACTTGGAATTGGGATAAATTATTTCGCCCATGTTATATATAAAATAAATTTTTATGCGCAAAAATGAAAAAAAATAATCCAAAATTTCTGAAATGGATAAACTTCCGAATGAATTTTTTGCCGATCTCGAACATTGTGTGTAAAATATTCCCTCACAATCCAATCGCGTGTTTTCCACTCCGAAGACCCGGAAAAGTTGACCTTTACTAGGATGACCTAAAGAGACACCTCAATGTTTATCGAGTCGTTATGGCGCGGTACTCGCGCGAATGTACGTAGCACCGAGCTTTTGCCGACATCTTTGCGAGGTAAATTGTCTATCGGACGGCCCCGATAAAATCGATCGCGGCACGAAGGAGACGAAAGGGGACGATGGCGGTGTTGCACTACTGTTGATCTCTCTTTCTCTCTCTCTTCCAGAGACACACGAGCTCGGTAAGTCGTCCTCCCAGTTCGATTCGGTTCCTCTCCTTTTCTTTCCCTCCTTATTCCCTTCCTCCTTCTCTCTCTCTCTCTCTCCCTCTCTTTCTCTCGTCTTTCCGCTGATTGTACGCGAAGTCCGCTGTGAAAAGCGCAGCCTGCCCTCGCCCGTTTATTACCATTCGAAACGACGACACCGAGGCTCTTTTCGTCGATTGTTGCGGCCAAACGATGCTCGAGATAAATCGCTCGAATCCTTCGAGAGGACGCCTCGGCTGGCAGAAGCCGAGTGGCGAAGAGCACTTTACGATAAAGAAACGTCATAAAGCACGTGCACAGAATGTCTTCAAGTTGACGTTACAAAATTTATAGGAATATTCCTGGACCGACTCGAAGTCGACTCGAACTTTGTATAAGTGTCAAGACATTATAATTACTTTTGACAAAATTAACTAAAAGTAAAAAGTATAATTAAATTTGAGAAATATAAATAACGCTTGAATTTAGATTCTTTAATCTCAAATTAACTCTAAGAATATTTTAAATATTACAATATTATTAAGATATAAGTATGTCAAAAGTTGAGAGCACGAAGAAATAAGATGTTAAATTAAATATTTATATTCATTAAAAAAATCAAATTAATTAAAAATACGTGTATATTTTGTGGTATAAAGATATTAAAGATAATTTATTGACAATAGTAGAGTATCAGAGATGTGTTTGTTCCGGTATCGAGTTGGAGAAATAATTGTTTGGCTGCATCGCATGACTATTAAAAAGTATTGATTCAAAAAGCGAAGTAAAAGCGAAAGGCGACGAAATGAAATATATTATAGAATTGTGAAGAGAGAAAAAAATGCGCGAGAGTTATGAAAAAAATGTATATGTCTGATAATCCACGAGTTTCGGTCGTCTGTTTATTATAGCCGGTTGTAAATCGTATTATGTAGATAAATCTACTTTATAACTTTCATTTTTATGCTTCTTCTTCTCAAGCAGCAACCATTTCATCTCTTTTTCAGGTGGTTTATCAACAAGAAAAAAGTGATCGGCGATTATACCACGGAGATGATTATTCACAACGCTACTCGCGATCTGCACGACGCGACTGTAAAGTGCGAGGTTTCTAACGACGTCGGTAAAAGCGAGGAGAGTCAAACCTTAGATATAAGATGTAAGTATCGCAAAAAAAATTTAACACACCGTATAAAATATAATCAGTTTAGCAAACACAAATACTTTCTCGGATGAAATATCACGCGCGCGTAAAAGATCTCTGGATTTATCTTTACACTTTTTTTTTCACATTTCTCGTAATTTTCGTGATCCGCGCAAGGATTCCGGCTTTAATTTCATCTTGGAAATCAAATCAGCGGATTAAAGATACAATCGCGTAGAAAAATATAAGGTAGAACGCTAGGCGTACTCGCGTATCGTTCGAAGAAAAATTTCGTATTACCGTAAAGCAGTTGCGACGAGCCGGTATATTAAAGGTGAAATCGCGTAATGATATAAAATAGAGCGGAAATGCGCGCTCTCTCGAAATAAACCGTGTACGAGAATAGACGACTTATATAATAGGAGGCTTATATAAAAAGAAGGAAAAAAAGATAGAGAGAGGAAGCAACATTTTTCCGCGAGTTCATTTCGCGGAACTGACCCGGGGGTTAAAATTGAATTTCTTTCTCAGACGGCCCACAATTTCGGCACCCGCCCGTATCCGTGGAAACGCATTACGGCGCGACCGAGATTTTGCAGTGCGACGTGGACGGGAATCCGACGCCAGAGATCCTCTGGTACCACGAGGACTCGGAGCGAACGGTCGCCACCAGTCCGAATATAAGTGTCTTTGTGGGTCCGGACACCGCCGGACGTTACTATTGCAAAGCCCGGGTGCCCGGTTTCCCGGAATTGACCGGTTACGCCAACATCTATATTCGCGCCCCGCCGAGCATCGTCTCGCAAAGGATCCAGTACGTGCCCGACGAGGGAGTGGTCAAGGTGCGTAACTATAATAACTTCTTCGACGACTCGCGTCTCTCTTCCCTCCTTCCTACGGCCGGTTAAGTATTATTGATAGCGCGCGACCGGTCGGCGCTATCGAGCGTAAAGAGATGCCAACGTAATTTTCTTGAGTGCCGCCGCACTCGCGCGCGTATCATGTATTATTATTGCGCGGAAACACCCCTCCCTCACCTCGCCGGAAAGGTCTTTTCAGTCGCGGCGGTAGTTATCAGGAAGCACTCAGTATAATTTTTACTCTGGATAATTTAACTTTATCCGCGCGATGTGAAAACACGCTCGAGAATTTATAAAGCCGACAAAGTTGACGTACTGAGTGGCTTATAATTAAAATTATATCGTTATTTCGAATATTTACAATTATATCCTATATTTGCATCGTTATTTAATAAGATGTAAGCTATAATGTTTGCGATATCAACTTTTTCTTTTAAATGTTCTGCTAACATTCTATATATACGTTCCTTGACACACGGTTCGCGATGATCGCGTAATGCCGCGCTTCGCCGCATTTTTTTCTCTCCCTGAAACATTTTTAGAAGAGTGTTGCGGGTCACCATGCGAGAATGGTCCAGCGGGTGGAGGGCGAGGTAGGGGGAAAGGGACGAAATCGCGCTTAACCGCATTTTTTTTTATTCCACCACCATTTTCTCCGATTTGTGCCTGCCAGGTTAAGTGCACCGCGATATCTGTGCCAAAAGCGGAATCGGTGGTGTGGAGTTTCGCCGGTCGCGAGCTCAATTTCACGTCGAACAATACGCCGTTCTACGTGCAAGAGGAATACACGGGCGAGAGGATAGTCAGCACTGTCACCCTGCTGGATCCCATATCGACGTACTTCGGGGATTACAACTGCACGGTCACAAACAGCTTCGGCACGGATTCCGTCATCATCAAGCTGACGGCACACAGTAAGTTTGATAGCCGTCGTATATTATTCTCTTCTGCATCGCGCGCGCGAAACTGCGTCTTATCCCTCCCGAATAAGCATCCGAAGATTTCGCGGAGATATATGTACATTGTTGAATAATAAACTCATATAGCGAAAGATATACTATATGCATGGATATATACACATTTTATAGCAGTTATTTTTACTGCAATTTTTGTCTAAAATTTTTACTTTAATAATTTTGTGCGTCAATATTTTCGTTAAAAAATAAAATTAATTTTAATTCGCTAAAGGAATTATCATTGAAAATAACGGAATACATAAATATATACGTAAGTATATATATAGCATTAGAAAATCATTAAAAAAATAAAAGTCAAAAATTTTCATTCTTCTATTCATTTATGTATGAAATTCCCAGAAAAAGATACATATATCTGCGGAATCGACCAGCAACGTATTATAAATCGATTTACTTCTTCAAGCAGATTGAAAGTATGTAAAGTAGTTTGAGGATGATTAGGGAGTTGAAATACTGCAGAGCTTACTTATCGACATATATTCATGAAGATAACACCGGAGAAATATATACGAAGATATTTCACGTTAGATATTCAAAAGAAATAAATGAAATATTTAGATATCTATCTTCGGAATGTGTTATTATCCTTACATTGTCTCTGGAAATGTTAAAAATATAATATTGACAACTTGACGCAGCTCTGAAGAGTTTTATATTTTTGTTCGAAAAGGAGGATTATTTATCACGATATATATTCATAGATTTTCCAAACAAATTGTTACAGATGAAATAATTTTTTAAACAACAATTTTAATCCTTTGCCACAAAGTCTTTACGATGCCTCAGATCAATTTGTAAGAATAATACGATCGGGGCATAACGCTTTATAGTCGTTCATACTTCTATAAGATCAGAGAGATTCTAAATCAGCTCATTTGCACGGCTAGCTCTTCAGTTAATGATTCGCAAACTACTTTAATCGCTGCTCGAGATCAAATAATTGCCTTCATGATTCGCTATTAACGTACAGCAAACGTATTATTACAGGCTATTTACAAATCGTGCCTATTTCCGATTATATTCAGACAATAAAATTTACGAAAATGAAATAAAACTAAAAAGTGCCACAAGTTATAATACAACAACTGTGAATTTTATCTCGAAATAAATTATAAAAATAAATTTATACCAGCTACAAAAGTGTCGCAAGTAAGATTTACGAGCACAAATTGTTATTATGAAAGAGAAGTCTGGAATTTGTGATGTTGTTGACTCGTGCCACGTTTTTAAACGTAGACATGATATATATTAATAAGCAGCGCGCCATCATTCTCTTCATCTGGTAAACGAGATTTTAACCACGCATGACGCTTAGCGTTGATTCCAGTCGATTGGCAACTGATCTTGATCATCGTTGGCTTGGTTGTCTGCCTGATCCTGATTGGCATAATAGTCATTCTCATTCTACAATGTCGCGATCGTATTAAGCAGCCACGGCCGCGAACAACGCAAAATCCAGAGACCGATATGCGTAAGTAATTATTTCTGATATGAATGTATTGCTTCGTAAATGTATGCAGAATATTTGATAAAGAATGTTGTATATATATATAACACAAACCAGAAACCACAGACAATAGACCAAAAACCGAAAATAATTAGACCAGAAACCATAAACCAGAGAATATAAACCATAGACCAGAGATCATAAACCACACATGTATGTGTGAAGGAGAAGCAGTAATTTTCAAATGATTTCAAAAAGATTCTGTAAAAGATTTTGTAAAAAATGCAAATAAATAAATCGTATTTTTTTAGTATAATACTAGATGATTAAAACTAAAATTTAGAATGTTATATTTCTTTTGATTTTATAAAACTATAAGATATTTTAATATATTGAGATTTCAAGCAAAAATCGCACAAATTATATCAAAATTCTTTAATAATGATTACAAGTATGTATTATTCACAATTAAATATAATGATCTACTATTAATGTTTAATATTGCATATTTATTTATAATTAATGTAAATAAAGATATCAAGATATTGAAAACATTTTGAGTAAATATTTCATTATCATTCATAAACATAGTTAACAATAATACAAAAATGTTAAATAAAAATCCTAGTAGAAAAAAATTAATTTCAAGATTTAAAAAAATCTTTTCTTTTTGAATCATTTTAAAAATTACTCACCCCATAATATATTAAAATAGATTCTGTAAAAAATGCAAGTTAGATAATGGATCGTAATTTTTTTAGTATAATACTCCAGTAAATAATAAATATTCTACTATTAATTTTTAATATTACATGCTTATTTATATATGTTGCATGATACATTAATTTAAGGAAGAGTATACATGTACAATACTATACATATATACACATACGCTTCCTTCGTCAAATTATTTCTAGAATAAAGATAAAGCTAAGTAACAACGTTCATCAACACTGCTATCATTACATGTAATGTTAGAATTTTTACTCAGTCAAATATAATTTACATTCGTATTATTATCAAGTAGTTATTAAAATGGGAGAAAAATATAATACAATATATTACGTATTAGAAGTGTAAAGTCTTTAATGATTATTAAAACTCTCATAGCAAACAACACGAGCTAATTGTAATTTGACGAGATCACATGTTGATACAACATTATTATTTCTCATTCCAGAAATAACTAACGCAATTTAATCTCATATCTCGTTATTATTAAAAATGATGGTTTGAAGACACTTCTTGAAATGGAAACCATATATGTTGACTTTTTTCTATACAGAGGAAACCGATTCTAACGCCGATCGATACAGAGAAAGCGATAGGAGTAGCAACCTCTCAGATGTCAAAGCGGACATTCGAGCAGGATCTAGCGTCAGCAATGCGGAAAGTGTCACGGCTCTTGACAGTGAAGGCGAAGGAAGTACAAGAGGAGTGAACGCCTTGGCGCTTGCTGGACCAGTACCGAATCCTTTATCCGGTTATCGTTACAGCGCTGATTACACCGAGCCCTCTTTCCCGCCGAAGAATAATGTAAGTAAAGTCACCTCTCCTCATTCATATTCTGATGTCTTCGCGCAAACATATTAAAAAATACTTAAAATTCAAATAATATTATATATAATTTATATTAATATTTTGCATAGCATAATATAAATATAATGTATAATAAATAATATTTTGTGAAATTTGCATTTTTAAGAAACAATTTTAGCGATTATAAAATATTTTCATAAAATGCAAATTTCACGAAATGATCAGTTTTAAAGTTAAATATTTGTCGTTATTTATATTTCGTTGTTATAATTCAATAGTAAAGCAAAGTTTATGGGATTTGTTTTTGTAGGATGGAAGTAACAACAACGGTTACGTGCCATACGTTGACTACACTCGCGATTATATGCCACCAACGACACAGAGTGTGGGTGCCTCGCGAGAGTCCTTGAGCAGGATACCATCGAGTGGCATTTTATCATCGAAAAAAATCGGACTGAGCTCGGCCAATCTTGGTGCTTCAACTCCGCAAACAACGCCGATCGATCCGCGATTTTCCGCGACATATGGCAATCCCTACCTCAGGTAAATTTATATATGTAATACATATTTAAATCTTCAGACAAAGAAAGCGAGAACAAATATAATTTGTGAAGTTTCATTTCTTTGATATTTATTTATAAGAGTTAACACTAATAATGAACAAAATCAATACTTTTCAATGGTTAAAGTATGCTTTAGGATTTGAAAATTCATTTACATTATTAATATAATATAATATTAATGCTTTCATCGTTTTCGTCAAAAATAATCGACTTCAACTACATAGCGAAATCTGTAGTGGAAGCGTAGAAAGTTCCACCGTAATTTTCGTGTAATAGTTCCCTCCGTATAAACCGAGGAAACAGTCTCGCTCGCGCTCGATCGAAGTTCCAAAATTTCAGAGTGTCAACATAGTCATGAGAGCCTTTAGATTGAACTCGCGCGGATGCCTCGGACTAATTATAATTGGCCCGCGCCATTGATCGGCTGTGAATACCTCAAGCGGCGTCGCGTTCGTTTATCTATACGTTGCGCGCTTGTCATCCCGCGAGTCTTCTTGCGTGTGTGAGAATCTCGCGCCGTATACGTGCCGGGAATGCGCGTTCGTCGCGAACGACTAAATTAGATATGAGCGCGAAGCGTGGTTGCATCTCCGCCTGGTAGGAAAATACTCTTTCCTCTCTTAAAAATATTACTCGGCGGGGCTCGATGATTATTAAAAAGTCAGCCGGGAAGAAGAGAGGGAGGAAAGACAAATTCCTCGGAAAACATCTCGAATTCCATCTCCACTCTAAATTCGCGTAAATTTCGCGCTACACTGTGCATCGAATTTTGTTTCTCGCGAGGAATTTTTAGAATTCTCGTTTAGCGGTGTTTTCAAAATTGTATGCTCTCCTAACGGAGGATGATCCCGAAGAGAGATGACTATTGTATTTAGATACACAGAGACTATACGCTTCACCACCCCCACATACGTACCCTTACCTTTCTTTTCTTGTTTACTTTTCTCCGTCAGAGAGATGCAAACAGTTACAATCTCACGTGTTTTGTTTCAATTCAGATCCGGACTCGAAACTATTTCCGAGTCAAACAGACTCGAATACGAATCGAGACGACGCGACTCTCTTTTGAAGTTTAGTTTCGGTTCATGGACCGAAACTGAGCGAACTCGTTACGGTTTCAATTCAGGTGCGCGCTTATAACATAGTTATAGAACAAAAGCTGACCGACTCCGTCGCAGAAGTCTGTCTGAAACCCCTCTTCCTTCGAAGCAGAGAGAAAGGTACAGAAATCGCGGAGAAACGCTTTGCACGATGAGCCTGAGTAACGGAACCGAAACTTGGAAATTTACTTTCTTAAAGTAGCTCAATTTCAGTCCGCGCACCTCTATTATCTCTTTTCTCTTTTACATAGTAAATCGATCCCTATATTAAAAGAGTCAATATATCTTAATATACGAAATATATTTATTTTTTACAAATATCTCTAAACGAAAAAAACATGAAATCAAGGACTTACACAGAGAATTTTCTCTTACAATTAAAATTTACTCGGAAAATCATGATAATCGTGAGACAATGTAGTATTGAAAGAATTTTATAAGTTTCTCTGATTAATATTTATCACAATAAAAAATATTAATATACATCTACCACGATATAAAATATGTTCGATTAATTTTATTATGTACATATCAATATTTTTATTGTGGTAAATATTAATCAGAGAAATTCTTATAAAATTCTTATAATGATTTTCAGGGTAAGTTCTAAGAGAAAATTCTCACTATGTATAAGTTATGAATATTTATAGCAACAAAAAATAGACAATGCTGAATAGTAATTCACAGTGTGTATTATCTCAAATAAAATTTACTTATTATTTATAATAAATTCGATTGGATGCACTAGTGCACACAAAGATTATTGCACATAATTTTATAATGACATAAGTAATTAAAAAAGTAAAATATGAATAGTAAGTAAGAGTTATTATTATCATCATTCATATTGAATAACAACAATAATAGTTCTTACTATTATTTTCCTTTTTTAATTTCTTGTGTCATTGCATACTTCTGTGTGATAAACCTGTAGATGCATTCCGTGCGCACTAGTGCATCCAATCGAATTCGCTATTAGTTTCATAAATTAATGTATAAATGTGCAAACAAAATATACACACGTATACATATATAAAAACCCCGCATAAACAACCGAAAATGGGACAATTCTATGGGTTACTGAATTCAATTATTGCTTGCATCTCTGCGTCTCGCTCTCTTTCTCTCTCTCTTTTCTCTCTCCCTCTAAATATAAATCTAAAAAAAAACAGTCCGATTTCCTGCATCTCACTAACTCTGCGTTTCTTTCTTACGAACAAACACAGAATGTCAGCGGCCGAGCAGCTCCGACACGCGCCGCACACAGCCGTGCCGGGAGTCACGCCGGCACCACCGCCATACACGCAGGCAATGAGAATGAATAGCTTGAATACCTTGAACGGCGCTGGCCCGCAGGTTGGTACACAATGCTGAATGTATGTCAAATTCCTAAACGTAGTTACATTGCTACACCTCCCGCTTTCCTCCCCCACGTTCTCCCGCCCCTGCCAGAGTGTTGCGAAGCATCGTGCAGCTTGGAGTAGATCGGAAGCAAACTGTCAATATTGCAAAGCCATTGCAGCTGCGCGCGCGCTATTTTTATTTTGCAACGCTAATCCTTCCCCGTACGGCCATTTCAATTCCCCGTCGCATATATTCCCACTTCAAATTGTTTCCGCCTTGTTCTATCTCTGTTTCTCACGTAAGACGTAAATATCCGAAGAATTTCGCGAAAGCAAATGGGATGAACAAAATTTAATACTCAAGTAAGTCGTATTCGAATCACGATTGAGGCTTCATCGGTATAAATTAATCTCAAGATATGTATATTCAAGTATGATATTAAAGAATATTTAAATATGGATTTTAATGTTTGTGAAGAGATGTACAGGATTGCGCGATAAAATACCCTAATTTGTTTTATTTTTTAAATCATTTTTATCTCTTTTTTTTGTTAAATTATCTATCTTTTATAACTGATCAAATTTGTGCAACAATGAATTTATTATTCTTTTCTTACGTTCTTATTATAATTAAGCATGACATTTATATTACCTGCAGTTACATGTGATCGAAATAGTATGCATAGATGAAAAACGGATCATTTAGCATATACTTACGAGCTATTGAACACAGTAGTATAAATCAATGATAGTCATACACATTTAGAACGACGTAATAGTTCATTACTATATATAGTGAAACATATACGATTTTCAATTTTCTCCTTCATAATTACATAGAAAAATACCATAATAATGTAAATAATTTTTTTATATTAAAATTTGAAATGACTGCGATAACTCTTTACTTTTTTTATTTTACAAATTATATATTATGCGCTGAAGAAAGCCCAAAGATAGGAAACGTCATAATTTTAAGATACTTTTTATGCATTAATTAATTTTGGTTTTATTCACTCGAGTTTTTCAATTTTTTCAAATATCATTAGTTTTGCACTCGACCATCTGTGCCAGGTTCGATGTATGACTTTATCATTGGTTTATACTACTGTGTTCAATAGCTCGTACATGCTGCTCCGTTTTCATTTTATACATGCACACTGTTTTATGTGTGTGAAATCGGCATCTCGTTTTGTGAAAACTCATAAATAATTAAGAGTTCTGACTTTAATTACAATAATTGTAAAGTTTCTAATAGTTTAAACAAATAGTTCCGGCTATTATAAAGGAAAATGCCTCAGGACAAACTGAGACGCCAACAATTATGAGAACTGTTTTAGAAAGAGAAAAAAATTCTTGATTCGCATCTCGACTTTGAATTAAAAAATATACGTTTTGATCAAAATAATTATTTAAAAAAATTTTTAAGTTTTTTAATTCTTAGAACTGTTTGGAAAGGCAAATTGTACGTGCCAAAACTATATGAGAACTATATTAAAAAAACAGAACTGTCGCAAATCGACTGGTATATCACCTTTAATATCGTAAATATGCATTTTACAAACAAAATAATTATTTTAAAAAATTTGTTTCAATTTTTAAAACTTTTGAAAAGCATTGTACATCCCAAAACCAAAGAACTGTTTAAAAAATATCTCTTGAAAATCGACTGACATATCATCTTTAATTTCGAGAATATGCATTTTACGGGCAAAATAATTATTGAAAAAATTTCTAAGTGTTTTAATTATCAAAACTCTTTGAAAAAGCATTGTACATGTTAAAAACTATAGGAGAACTGCTTTAATGAGCACTCTCGAAAATGGACCGGCGTCTCATCTCGATGTCTATATACATATATAGAGTTGTCTTTATTTTAGCCTTATCAATATTTTTGCCTTTAAAAAGCAGAATTGTTCTTAGAACTCATATAAAATTTAAATCTTTTCAATTTTGATAATTACTCATAAGGAAAATGTCATTAAACAAAGTGAGACGTTGCATGGTCCTAAGACATTTTCGTTGCTTTAATGTTTAATGGCCTATATTTGTTTGAACTATATCAGGAACTCGAACTATCTTAGATAAAATCAGAAATCTTAATTTTAATGTATATTCTTCCTTCGCCAAATAAATTTATTATTCAACATATATATATATATATATATATATATATATATATATGGATAAGCATGTAAATATTAAAAATTAATAGTAGAATATTATATTTATATAGTTGTATAATACTTAGTAACTAATATGAAAGGAATTTTTGATATATTGTGTGTGTGTGTGTGTCTATGTGATTTACTTGAAATGTCAATATGATAAAATATTTAGTTTGGAAATTTAAAAAAATATAAAATTCTAACTTTTACTTTTTAATCATGAATATTATACTAAAAAAATTTGTTATCTACTTGCAATTTTACTTAATTTTTTTTATGTTTTCTTTTAAATAATTTAATCCCTGTATAGGTATATATTAAAAAAGATTTTATAAAAAATATAAATAGATGAAGAATAAATGTACATACATATATGTGTATATGTATATACATACGCCTCCTTTATCAAATGTATCTATCATTCAACATATATAAATAAGCATGTAATACTAAAAATTAATAATAGAGTATTATTATATTTAATTTAATAATATATAGTAATTAGTAGAGTAAAGGAATAAATATTAAAAGATTTTTATATAGTTTATTTTTGGATCTCAATATATTAAAATGCACATTTTATTGTTAGAGTTTTCAATCGAAAGAAATATAAAATTCAAAATTTTAATTTTTAATTATTCAGTATTATACTAAAAAAATTACGATTTCTTATCTGCTTGCATTTTTACGGAATCTTAAAACTTTATTCTTTTTTAATCATTTTAATAATTCCTCCATATGTGTTAAAAATAATTCGACTCACATTTCAACTCGCTATTCCTTTTTTCCGGCCTCGACGTGTATTCCTCTGCATCGGGAACTAATCCTTGTATAATCCTTGTAACACTCGCGTTATTTTTTTTTCGACGGTGCGACTTCCCCCTCGCGACGCACTGAGAAGTCGCCGATTGAAGGTTGAGCGAACTCGGCACTTCACGAAACAAAAATTTTCCGATCGCGTATTTCGATTATTACACGCACTTCTCCCGCTTTGCTAATTATTTCCGACTCGACGATCCACGACAAAATTTTGGAGCACAATGCACGATACTGGAATGTAACAATAGCAATATGGCGCCGCGTTATTGTCGTAGTCGATACGATTTTTACGAGAATCACGAGTTTACTTCATCGCGTAACGATACTCTGACACAACGACGCGGAAATACGACCGGAAACGCGCACTCACTCGCTTAGAACACGACCGACGACGCCGAAAAATTTTGGAAATTCGCGTCGAAAACGCACCCGGCAACTCTCGCGATCCGTTCTCTTCGCTGACTCGGGGCTAACTTTCGGTGGCTCGAACCGACGCCATGACGTCACGCGCTTTCGGGAGAACGGCCGTCGAGCTTCGAGCGAGATTCGCGGCCAATTTCGCACGAGCGATCGCGATCGCGATCGCGATCACGATCACGATGTCCGGCCACGCGACGCGATCGGATTTATTCGATAATTATACCGACGTGAAGATGCTAATTAACATATTCACACCCGTATTTTCGCGGACCGAACCGGCGACAAGTACGCGAACGAAGTGACTTGAAGGTGGACTAGAGTGAAGAGTGAAGCAAGTCATTTAGACTGTGTTCGCAAATTACATTTATCTAGGCTGAACGCTCGACCAATCAGGACGAAGCGATCCTCGGCCTCTTATTGGTCGGTCAAATTTTGAACTTTTCGGCGAAGCTTCTTCGACGGAAGAAGACGAGCACACGAAGGAGGAGTCGGAGAACGCGCGACGTCACGATTCCGAGAAGAAATAGCGCGAAAAATCCGCGAACCGGCGCCATATTGAGATATGATATCGCTATGATTCTTACACCCGAAAAACGAGCGAAATCGTTCCTCGATTAAGCCATCGATGCTTCCTTCGGGAAGCAGAATATTCGGGAGCATGAAGAAATATCAAGGACGCATTCTCATTTCATCTTTGTCCGTCTGAAGTACAGAGACGTAACAAAAACAATGGCTCGCGGCCGTGAAATGGAATGCGACCTTGATATTCCTCGATGTCCACCGATATTCTGAATGATTCGCGACACTCCCGACTTTTGTTCGTACGCGAATTTCCTTGCAACCGGAAAAGCAACGCGAAAAATGCGCGAGAAAAAGTCAGACTCACCAAACAAGACGACGCAAATCAATTTCGACACGAGCAACTATGACCTCCGACGAGTCCTAGCAGGAACTGAAGATGGATCAACACCTACCATAATTCGTCTCGAAAATATCGTCGCGACGCTGACCGCTAATTGGCCGAAATCGATCACGTGATCTTAGATAAGGAAGTCTTTTAGAACGGACGCGCAATGTTCATTGTTTTTTATCATTGAAACGTACCTTAATTCATGGTCAATTTTTTTACTTGGGGTTGCGCTGTGATCACGATTTATGTTTGTTTCTGGTACTTGATTATTTTTTTGTTTATGGCGTATGTGACGTAAACCGACCGGTGAAGATTGGTGAAGTTTAGTCGTGGCACTGTAAATTATTTCTGGAATCAAAAACAAGTTAATAAGTTAATACATATGTATGTATGTATGTATATGTATTGCTAATTATTAATTTTAGATATGTACCATGTGTATGTATATGTGCACAGTGACTGGCAAAAAGTCGTCACATATATAGACGAGTTAGCTTCATAAAGATAAGACAAAGATACGTTGTATGCTTTTTGTAACAAATTAAAAATTCATTAATTAAGTGTTTTTAATTAAAAGGGAATCATTTTTATTGTTTTCTTATGGAGGAAGCTTGTTTTTAATATACACATACTATTTTTTTCTAAATAAGTATATTTAAGAGTGAGAAAAGCTAATTATATTTTAATTAATTTAAAGAAACAACAATATTATTTTAATTAATATGTTTAGTCAATATGATTTTCTTTAGCCTTAATAACTGTTTGAAGTCTTTTATACTTTTAACTAAATCTTTCAAATGTTACAAGTCCAGATTCTCTTATTGCTAGTGTACGTAGTGCTTCAAAATAGAAATTCTTTTTAATTGCTCTGTATTTGTTAACTTTATTATCCAGAATGACTCACAAATTTTCGATTAAATTCAAATCTAGAGACTGCTGAGACCATTCAAGTTATTTGATTTGACATAAAAAAAACTTAACTTTTATTGCTGTGTGTTACCAGTCTTTATCTTGCAAAATATAAAATTATCTTTTAGTTCAAGTTTCAACAAAGACTCCCCAAAATTTCATTAATTATATCAATATCAAACTAGCATTGGAGAATCTGACTTGTAACATTTGAAAAATTTAATTGAAAATATACCAAGACTTCAAAAAGCTATTGCGGCTAAAGAAAATCATATAAAATATTAATTAAAATAATATTGTTTCTTTAAATTAAAATACTATATTATCTTAATTAACTTTTTTGTCACTCTTAAATATATGATTAAATATACTATTGTTTAGAAATAAAAATGAAAGATTTCAATGACTTTTTAATTAAAACCAATTAATTAATATAGTATTTTCAATTTCAGTTATAGAACACCTATTTTTTTGTCTTCGTGAAGCAAACAGGCTTATTAGATGAGATGGCCTTTTATTTTTGCCAACCACTGTATGTATGTGTATTTATTTATATAATAGTAGAAAAACCACTTTAAACATTTTTTAAATTTAAATCTTTAAATGTAAAGAGAAAAACATGCATTGAAACATGCATACACACAAAGAGGTGTTTATAGAAAAAAAGAAAGGCTTAAATTGTCAAATAATTGTCAATTTTTTCTGTTTTATAGGCTCCATTATCAGCGCATTATATCACCGGCGGTCCAAATGGTGCCATGGCGACAGTGAAACGCACATCGGCGGTGGGCACGTTAGCAACGCACGTATGAGGCCAGGGGATTTATCCGAATTAGAACCGTCGATACTCGGGCCTAACTGAAACCACCTTCGAACTCGGCCGTGTCCTCGGGACATCCCGCTATTCGCTCGGTTCATGCGCGGCGACAACGATAAAGTCGACGACGCAGGATCCCCGATACCCTGTTGACGAATCCGAACGAAGTCGATATCGCTACGATGGGATCCGCTATAACACGGAACGTTTACGTTACAGAGCCGAGTGTGAGCGACTTCTAGGGCGAAGGTCGCGGGGCGATATGGGTCATGGCGGAGCCACGGACCGAGCACAACGGATGGCCGAGAATGGCGAGGCGCTCAAGTATATTGAACTGGTTCTTCGACAGTTGCGAAGAGCCAGCAGAGATCATCAGGAACTCGTGCGGCAACGTCACGTGGACTTCCAGCACGAGATCAGTAAGCGAATCAACGAGAGAGTCTGGCATCATCGAGATGGACGCGAAGATTCGTTACACGCGTCTAGAACTTGGTCCAGATCCTCGAGTAGCCCTTGGGAATCGGATGTGACTTTGCGGAAAACGCGACCGGACGTCACGACGAGATTGTTGACGAAGAGAAGAAATTATGGGGGAACGGCGCAGAATACAGTCAATATTCTGAGACCAGGCCCCTACGGACACGTTCAGGATGCAGTAGTTGGGACCGCTTATCAAGAGATGAGATACGTTCCTGACAATGTTGATTGGAAGGGTGCGCAGGAAATGTTTGGTGCGTGGAGTCTGCCTGAAGCTTCGTCGAGCAGCGATAGAAAGACATCTTCCACCGTCGTTTAGCGCAAAGAAAAATCTGCCGCTAATGAAATTCGACGAAATTAGGAAGGTATCGTATGTAAATGCGTCAATGAACGTTTCGGTCGTGGTTAATGATACGCTTGCGCTAGGATTACACTTGAAATCAAACTGTCTCGTTGCGATGGTGAACGTAACACACGCTGATGAGACACACTGCCAGTGCGGAAAAGACGCCAATATCGAAGGGAACGGACTCTCCCTTTTTGGGTCAATAAGATTAGATTTAAGAAGAAGAGCGCCGTGAGTAGTGTGCTCTCGAACGAAATTCGTGAGTACGAGGGGTGGCGATGTTGGTTGGGTTCGTGGATCGAAGGCACTCTCTTCGGTCAGTGGCGAAAACAGACCACTCGGTATCGACAATCTTCTATTGACATACTTTAGATCTTCTATATAATAAGCGTTTAATAAGACTCGCTCGAGCGACGAGAAACGAAAAGTCCGAACGAATCACGTCGCGAATTGTTGCTGTCGCGGTGGTAGCCGAATACTGAAAAGTGCGTGATATCGTTGAGATACGCGATTATTTTCGCAAAATATCGAGAATGATTTATGAGGCTGAAAGCTTTATCGTGTAGATTTTTCTGGTAATTTACGGAGAAGCTGGGTTTACATTTGTCATATAATTACATTTGTGATAATTTTCTCATTAGCAATGAGATGGTAAAAGTCTTTCTTAGAGCAATTATTTTAATGCATTAAATAATCTTGGCAATAAAGTTAAAATACGATATATTAAAGAAAGATACAAATTTTCAAATATACATATATATATATATATATATAAAACATCAAAGATTTCATTGTAGATTTCCGTCCTATAGAACGCTTTCTTTTTAATTCGCACTACAGTGAAAATTTGATATCTTCTTATATTAGCGGGTTTGTTTTATCACGAAAGAAAGATATTAATTGTGGCTGAGAATCTGAATCTATCGATTATCAGACGTTGTACTCATCGAGCACCATGAACATAAATGCAACGAATGTCAAATGTAAACCTAATCCTAATGTAACGCGAAGATGTCTCGGCTGCCACTTCGATGTTTACTGTGTCGCGCTGCCTTTTTGTATTTGTAGGGAAAAATAATTGAGAGATTAGCTTATAAGAAATGTTCAGCATCCGCAAATTAAGGACGCACGTTAAGGATTAACGACGACGTCGCGACGGTCACGTGGCTTACGTGATGACGATAAGTCCGTGACTTCGCGTTTTCTCCGGCCTCAAGTTCCACGTGCGACGAACAGATAGTAAATAGCGCAAGTCCGCGCGAAGGGAATCGATCACCGTGTGTTTTGCGGTTGTTCGCATTTGTAAAATAGATAGCGAAAAATCATTAGATATATATATATATAAATATATTATACACCTGTTGTCAATATGAGCATAGGGCCTATATATAGTTTGACGGCACTACGTGAAAGCGAATTCTATTTGAAATAAGCTCGTTCGCGAGATGGGACGGCTTCGTGTAAATATCTATTGATAAATGATATATATATAAAAAAAACGTAACGAAAAATACGAAACGGCGCGATGTTCTCCACGGCGTTGTGGTTTCGTCGCGCATATTTTCCCCCAAAAAAGAAAAACGCGCGACTAAAGCCCCGCGTAATCTCATTTATAACGAGTTAAGTTATTATTATTTTTTTAGCATATATCTTTTCTGCTTCGATACGCCGTAGCTCGTTACCGAGGATCGCAAGATTCAAAAGAGGAACTTGATAAGTCCATTTCTTATTCTTACAGATTCTAATATCACAAAAATTAAAATATGATTTAACTATAATAATAATTTTTATAGCATCCAAAATAAGTAATCTAATATGTAAAGAATTTGAGAAACTAGATTTAAAATATTGTGACAAAGCTAAATAAATCTGTGGTTTAAGAAATGCGTTGCCAACAGATTGAAATATCCAGGCGAATTTAATAAGTAATAAAAATACGCATCATTTCTGAATTCAAAAGTTTTTGAAGACGAAACTTATGACTTATCAGCTTCGAGAACGATTTATGGCGCGATCGATCCTCGATTTATTCTAGTGCGATCGAGAAGAAGCGTATCTTGAAAAATACGTCGTGATGTATAGAGTGGACATGGGGGATACCATTCATAATGATAACGAAACAGGGTAGCCTATCAATTATTAAGAGAATTTCAAAAAACGAAGGCTGCACATATTACAGACTGGGCCGTACGCGCGTATCCTGCATATCCGTCAGGATATCATGATTAATTCACGCGAGGAATTCTCAACACGATTCGCATTATTGTCGAAGGAGGGGAAAATTATTATTAAACGATCGTCGCACGTTGAAAAGCTAAAATTCCAGGCCGCGAATACACGATATTCGTGTCGTCGGGAGATATCTTTATATTGTAACGTCTGTAACATAACTTCTGTACATATCTGGAATTATTGCTCACCGTATCTCGTAAGATTTAGTTAGTTTTGTATCTGTGAACCACTATGTGTGCGTACTTCACACTCTCTACGAGAAGCGTCCCGCGTCAGATGTCTCGTCCCGAAGTAATAGAATCGTCCTAAGAGCTCTTTCTTTTTATAAGAATTCGCAAACTTAACGAAAAAATTATACGGCTTATTTTCCAGTAAGAACGATCGTGACATTTTTCCTTCGAAGCAAATGACACGTCGACGAAATCACAATATAGGGAGGGCTTTAAGTGAAGTCAACTATCAACTGAATGTATTGAATGTACATTTTACTTAACTGACCACATCCACGTAAAAAGGATTTTGACAATCTTAAATTAAATTTTTAAATTATTAATTGAAATTGATCTTTCTTGATATGTAAAATTAATTTATCTTTTCATATTTTTTTTACATAAATTTTCAAATTATTCAATAGAGAAGAAATATATTAATTAATATTTCATCGCAAGTAATAATGAGTTTTTTTTTATTTTCGTGCAAATGGGATAGTTAATTGCGATTTTGTCGACGCAGGCCCATTGACAGGGAATTCGCGAATCATCTATCTCGGGGAAGTTTCGCTTCTCGTACGTCATTCGGTCATTCTGTACAATGTTCACGCCGAGATGTTACTGTTAACTATTTAAAATTTCGAAACCTTCAGTTCGGCCGCGCACATGAAGGCACCATGTGTATATGTGGAATGGTTAATAATGCATATACACAAGTATCTCGTGCTTGCAAGTGGTACTCTCGAATGCCGGATATATATAGACGAGAGAAAGCGCGGGAGAGACTCTCATCATGAATGCATTCGGTACGAGATGTCATACATACAGATACACACGATTTCTATTATATAGCGGAAAAAGACAAAAAAAGAGAAAAAACACATAGAGAGATTAAAGAGAGGTATACACGCGAAGTAACTACACAATCAATGTACTGGATGGTCCGTGTGGCGATGTTAAAATTAGAAAAAGTTTATGTCGTTTGAAATCTTAGGAGTTTACGCCTTCTCTGCCGTAGGACCATCCTATACGTATTAATTGGTTATCTGTCAATTATTAATTGAATTGTATATCAATTTCTTCGCCTTTTAGTCAAGGAACGATCTTCTAATGGGTGTAGCGTGGCGCGATCGCGTTGTTGTAAAGTCAAATTCCTAGGCAATGTAAGCGACAGTCCTTTTTAAGCGAATGCGAGCAACCCTTCGTTCGCATAACGAAAGAAGATAATTGCCTAAACGGGAGACGAACGGGGATTTTTCAAATTTGTTGATACTTTTCATACTTTACGACTAGGAATTATGGCCTATTACTACTATTACGCAAAGTTTATCCGCCGACTCGGTCGTTTTTATTCATCCGCACGACGAGTGATCGAAAGCGTGTTCAAAATCGCGTTAGGAAACATAACAAATAATGTAAATAACTTATCGGAACGTACTTTAGAATGGCATACGTCTTATATAATTTTATCTCTTTTTCTGCGTTTGATAGATAAAAATTGCACGTGCAAATTTCATATCAATCAAGCAGTGCATTGAGTTTCAAATTATATCTGTACTTGATCTGATGTACTATCAAGCCTTTAACGTCAGAGTATTACAATTTTGCGATTCACTTATAAAATTCAAGAATTTTGACTATTAATGTATTAAAATGAACGATATATACATATAAATTTCATAGCTTTTTTTTAGTAGGCTTCGAAGTTATACGCTATGACTATATGAACACGTTAGATGCCGAGGGGATCAAAGGAGGATTAATTAAAATGCAAATTAAATCAATAAACGCACGGCGTTAAAGGGTTAAAAGATTACGTTGAGCCGATCAAACGTCGAGAGAATAAAGCGCGCGGGTACGCCTTTCTAGGGTAATATGTCCGACTTTTTCTCTATCTTAATCGCGAGTATTAAAAAATACAGAAAAAGAAAAAAAAAGGACCGAGTCGGCCAAAATTCGTAAATGGGAAAATGACTTTTTAGAGAATGAGCGTTCTCTTTGCGTGCTACCGCGAGTTGCTGCGGCAACGTGGATACATGAATATAATCTATTTCGAATTCGACTGAACGACACATAGGAGATAATATATATCCCCATATTTTTCTCGATGTTAAGCTTTTTCTCAGAACGTATATGGAATGTACGGATATATCATTCGACATCGATGACGTTTCGCGACGACGGATGATCCCAGCTGATTGTTTTATAAAAGTGCGAATCGCGAATCCCGATTCAGAATGATCACTCTTCGCTCAATTAATAGGACGATCGCGTTTATTTCACTACAGAGATTTTTTCTCCGAAAAAAAGCTGAATTTCTTCCACGGCCTCTTCTTCATGGCCGCCACTGTTACGGATAAAGACAGGAAAAGCGGGGAATTAAAACAAACGTAGCCATATCTGTGCGAGAAGTCTCTGTTACGTATATCTTCCGTGTGTATATGTACGCGTGTGTGTGTGTGTGTGTTTATTTTTTAAAGGGAATCAGATTATTAAGGCAAACAGATTTCAACGATACTACAAAGATTCTTTCTTCGAAAAAGCTAAATTTCTTCCACGGTCTTTTCTCCATAGCCGACATAATTACGAGTAGAGGAAGGAAAAGCAGGGAATTAAAACAAATGTAGCCATACCTATGCAAAAAGTCTGTTACGTATCTTCCGTGTGCGTGTGTGTGTGTGTGTGTTGTCATCAGTTTTCAAAGGGAATCAGATCTGTTAGATTAATTACGTATTCAACGCAATTGATTGCATTTTAATACTTTAGAAACGATACTCTCGCGTACTCGAGAACAAGTAATCGACGTCGATGCATCAGTTGCTATCGTTTCACGATATTTGACGCCAGAGTAGGAAGATAATAGAGTAATTTAGCCAAAAAAATCAGTCTCAGAAAAAATATCAATCGTAGAAAAGAAAGAAAAAAGAATAATAAAGCGACAAATTACGACTATTTTTCCCTTCCTTTCTCCAGAAGGAAAAAATTATCATAATTTGTCTCTTATTATTAGATGTTCCTTTTCACAAAAATTATTACAATCAAAATGCACTTTTCGGAAATTCTTAAAAGATATCTATTTTTAAAAGAATTTAACAATATTTTTTCTAAACAAAATTAATTTCTCTAAATTCAATCAATCTCTTTTTACTCTTTAAAATATTCTTACATTCAAGTTTATAGATATCTTATCAAGAATTATTAATTAATGAGGTAATGAAATAGTCCATTCACAAATGTATTCGAAAAAATCATATCGGAAAGCCTGTACCAATAAAACCCGATAAATGCGGTCGACCAGCAACGTAACGTTAAATATGCACAATTTATTTCAATCGATAAATTGCCATATATGTATAGCGTACAAAAGAATTCTTATATTGAATCCGCGAGTTGATACCGATTACATCCTCAAATTTTATAATTTATATATTGTGAAACATATCCACTATTTATTAGAACGTTGATAATATTAATGACGATTATTATACGATATAAAACTTCATCGTAAAAACAGAAACATATTTGTATAAGATATATGGACATTTTTTACTCTACTCGACGGTATAAGAACTTTTGTTAGAGGCATTACATACTGTGACAAACCAGAAATCGATCTCTTTTGATCAAATTCAACTATCAACTACCGTAAATCTTCTAAGCTGATGTCGGTTAATTAATCTCTATTATATCGTAGCAACTTTTATACTCTCTGAATCTTAAAACATAGCGAGAATATCATTCGTTCGAAGACAAAAGAGTTGTTATTTTAAAATACCAACAAAATAAGCAAGGAATTGTCACTTTCTTGTTTTATCAATTTTTTTTCTGAATTTTCTTTCGATTTTAACGAGCCAATTCTGTTCAATTAGATTTCCTTGTCGGAATAATGAAAGCGCATAAATAATTTATGAAAAATTATGGAAAATATGAATTATATATCTCGATTCATTACAGATTCAACCGAGGAGAGAAAGCGTTTACACTGCAACTTTTTACTAATGTATAAAAATTCGCTTTTTATCGAAAAAGAAAAGTACGAATATAAAATCTAGATTTTTGTCCGTCGCAACGCTAAAATATTACAATTAAATCATGAGATTTTAAGTAAACGCGAAAATAAATTTCATTTTTAATTGACGTGCGTTCAATTAAAAGTACGTCAGCCACAAAACAAGCTCGAACATATGTATGTAATAACATATCACGTCCATTACTCGTTCGTATCGCAGAGCCTCGATTGCAATTCCCGTTATCCATTAAATTAGGATTGAATTCCAAATTCCTCGCATGTACCTGTAGCATTTAAAAAAAAAAAAAAACCACAAAAGAGGAAAGGGTCAAGCATAATAAGAGAGACGCCAACAGAAATTACACGCAACGTTCGCACAAGATCTTCCGTTAAAGAAACAAATGAAGCGAATGAATGAGAGTGCATTTGTGTGAAAAAGGGGATGAATGAAGAAATTTTTGCAATAACGTGCTTCCAATACGTTAAACGTGAAGATTGAAACCGGTGCATTTTCGATAAGTTTAATTTCCGCAAGGTAGAATCGAGATTAACGAATCGACATGAGCGAAATTCTACCGGTTTGAATCCCTAATTAAAAGTTAATCAATAGATCGCGTATATGCGCGGGAAATAATAATATAGATAAAATAAAATTGACATATGACAACTGTGTCCCATACGAACGTGGGACTTCATCAGTATTTCACAGATACGGTATTGCAAAAATTCTCGAATGTGTGAATGAGTCTGAGAACTTTATTACACAGCGCAAAAGTAGTCAATCTATCTCGATATGACAGTGTGCCAATAATTCTTCATCCCAGTATAGATAATATACGTTTCTCATTCCTTTTACGATTAGCCAGGCCTTCGAGAATTCGATCGAGGCCGTGCGTAAATGCAATTTTATTCCTTACATACGCATGATACTATCGTAAGAGTGTAAGTACAAAGATACTACGACCTATTACTTTCGATTTTCGATGTTTCTTGCACAGTAGAGCCGATAGATATCATCCGTATTCCACTGTCCCTCAGCTTATCCAGATATATCCGTGTTTGCGTGATGAAATTTTTATTTAGAAAATTGTTTTTCTTTCATTTTACACACGATGTAGGAAGGGAAGAGGGCGAAGCAGGATCTGCAATGATGTAATACGTAAGAAAATCCTGTCAAACAGAGATTTTTTTCACGATTAAGCTTCTTCAAGCATGCACGAATAGATAGCAAAATTCTAATATCTACTTCATTAAAAATTTTAATGAAATTTCCGGAAAGCAATTACGTGCTTAAAATATGTTGTGATAAATAATAATGTGCAATCCATTTTTTCCTGTGCAAACCTCATCATTTTAATTTTGCAAAAATAAGTTTATTATTGGGAAAGTGTGTGCAATTTTTGGATACATCCTATACATACATTTGCGGAGCGCATTTCTTTTCAATCGTATAAAAAACCAAAGAGATTTTATTTTACGTTATGTGTATTGTTTGAATTACACGTCCTGTACATGATCGCATGATTTATGTGCACGTTCATCGAGTGCTTTAATTATTCTTATTAATTACTCTTTCGCATTGTATTATATTTCTGTATGAGACTGGTGTAACTGAAAATATTAATTTTTCGGTTAACTAAAATTTAAACATTTTTTACCTATCTAATGAGATACATTTTTTAAGAAATGTATATTTGATGGATCAATACTTTCTTCAAAGAGATTCGATTATTTATATATTTTCTAGAATATTTATTTTATTGATTATTTGTTATCAGTATATTAAAAAAGTATATTAATTATATGATGATTGAATTAAATGTTCATATCATCTCTTTTTAATATGTATGCATAAATAAAGCATTGAGTTTTTTAGTTGCACCAATCATATTCTAAAGATGTAAGTAATATTCATTTATACATTAAATGCAATTTTTACTAGCAATATAATTTTACAGCTTGAGCAATATATATATGTATATGCAATTTATTGTGGTGTATATTTTATATTTTATTGATGATCGCATATATTTGTGCAAGATAATTGTAATGATTATTATTATTTTTTATTATTTAGAGTATATTTATATTTCATTTACGTACTTATCGTTAAGCGTATAAACTGCTGTTTATTTTATATTTTCCATAGAAAGTAATATGTATATATATATATTTACGCCGATGTTATATTTTATTAAATATCTGCCATAACGTAGCTCTGATAGTCTAACATTTCCCTTCGTTCTTGTAATACGTTTTTTTTTCTTGATACCTCGGATATTGCAGCGTGCTGCTTTTTTTTATTTTCCCTTATTCAGTGCGCAATTATCGATGCGTCGATATATTGGAAATTATGTCGCTTCCGCGTAACGTTGTATGCATTTCTCATTTTGTACAAGGCCGAGATGAAACGGGATAATCTTTGTGCGACCAACGTTGCATCGTCGCAAAGAAATTGCTAGAAACGATTCTGTATCATTTTTCTTAAAAAAAAAGCACTTAAATATGCATCGGCGCATCCTTTTGTAGGGTCGCAAGCAGAGTAATTGTAACAATAGGATAATAATGACATTGCAATAATAAAAGTAATAATAATTATAATAAAGCTAATAAATAATGACGATAGTTTGTTTAATAGACATCATATCAATTATTTAAAAAGAATTGATTATTATTTGTGACTTTATTCTTGGAAAATATTACAGTTTACATTGTACCGTCATAATTACTCTAAATCCTTCGCAAAAGGGTGTATCGATGTAAATGCGATATATTTACAAATGTTTCATCTACGAAATTTGTGTTCGATCTCTGAAGAAAATAACTGCAGGTTGAATTCGTCGAGATTATTCGCTCAAAAATAATTTGCTGCACGATTTGCTAATATCGCTTTAATATTGAGTAGCACGCGAAAATATTTTGGTCAAAGCGTTTTAACTTTACGTGAGCAGCGAAAGACGAGATAAATTTGCACTTTTCCATGTATGTGCCTCAAAAAGGAAAAAAAACAAGACTTTCGTTGCCATATTTGCCCGCGCGAGTATAGTAATCGTACGATTCCTTTGTCTAACTATCGTCGATAATTTTCAGGGAAGGCTTAGCGAGACGAAGAATCGGTTTATGAATAATGTAAAATGTTTTCTCGAACGTAACTTCCGGGCCTCGCAGTCAAGATGGAAATTATTTATAATTTTAATTGCTTCGAGATCGGTGGCCTGTACTTTCATTCTCTGCGCGACCCGGAACTTTACCTCGATGTTATCCAACTGATCCCCGTGCAAATGTTTGCAGACAAGTGTTTAACGAGGATCAGATGTGTGTATCCACATTTCAAGAGAGAAAGAGGGAGAGAAAGATATTGATTGATTGATTGAGAGAGAGAGAGAGAGAAACAAATAAAATAGATTACTTCATATAGCACACAGTTGAGCAAACTGTAATGAAAGCAATGAAAGAAAATAATGCTATTTTTATATGTTGCACTTCATCATCATCTTTCCGCCGTAAAGACCCGTAGTTATATAAAAGAGAAAAAAAGATCTATTTCAGTTTTTTGACTTCGTGTCCATTGGGCCATTTCGTGTCGCCAAAAATTTCGCCGAAAAAGATAGCACATTTCTGTGAAATAATCAAGAGTGATTAATGCGACACACCAATACATAAATCAAACGTAATTATATTCAGAAATCTAAGTAATACGTTTTACTTAAAAGTTAGCAAGTATGTGTTTAGATAATATAAAAAAAGAATTTGATACCTATTTCTCAAGCGCCTTTGTTTTATCTATATCATATCAAATGATCTGAGCAGATAATTATGACATAGACCACAATGGAAATTTAAATTCTATGCAATTGTTTGCATATCATTATTCGTGCAATTTGACAAGAAATGACCCAATAATATTATCGTCATAATATTTAGCCGCTTAGAACAATCGAATCGATGAAAAAAAATATCTCGGAAGATGATCCAAGAGATGCTCTTGCTCACAGTTAATCTAGATTACTATAGTAAGATTTACGATTATTGTATTATTACTAATATATCTACATTCCTTTTCAGAATCTACCACTATTACTTTACGAAGCTATCTGTAAATAAGTATTTTGTATTCCTGCAAAAGAATAAAATTAAGAATCATTATAACTCGTCTGATATTTTTAACGCCGATATAAGTACCGCGTAGACTAATGAAAGTGATACTTTATAAATAATCAGACTTGTAGATATAATATGTGCTTTTTTATTAAAACTTAAATAAATTCAAGTTTTTTGAACAATCTATCATTTGTTATCCTAGATATTTTCTGAAAATATCATTGCACAGGATGTCACAAAATTTCAACTAATCGTAAATCATAAATATATAATAATATTACTATTGCATTAAAAAGTTAAAAATAAAAAGAACTTATAAACATAAGTAAAATTTTCTTTTATACAATATCTTGTGTGTGTAATGAAGTCGTAAATAAAACCTATAATTATATAACTTTGTGACATTCTGTATAACTCAAAAACTTTAATATAATTTTTGTTTTTAAATGTATGTATTATTAAATGCACACTTATTTTATATCATATCGCACATTATTATTTTATATAAACGTTGTATTGATTGCTTATTTATTCAATTACAATCAATTACACAATATCATACAATTACACATTTCATTAGAGAATGTTGAAATATATATATATATATATATATATATATATATATATAGATTTTTTAAATTATTTTCTTTCTTGCAAATATATAAAGATTAATACCTCAGACACCAGATAAATGTTTCATATTTGATAATCAACACCTATAATGATGAATAATATCAATTAAAATTTTTACATTAACAGAAAAAAATAATAGACCTGATATCCAAAGAAAATTGAACGAATTAAAACTTTGGAATTCTAACAGGTAAGCAGTTAATAACCAAACAGCCTGACTTAAAATCCAAGAACATATTAAACATACACTTCTACAGAAACTCATCTTGATATTTGGCAAACAAAGAGGTAACAGAGATAAAAACCAGAAGAAATACTGAGAAGTTATTACTGGATTGTATATTACTGCAATTATCGCCTGGATAAACATAGCGAATGGCAACTTGGATTTTTCTGAATAATAATACGACGACATCAATAATAATAATAATTGTGGCAGAAACGTAATGATCTTTTGGATTATATCCTGAGATTGATTAGCAGATAAATAAAGCATGTAAAAATATACAGAAAAGTTGTGTCTTGCGTCTTTACGCACTAAATGGTACAGAAAACTCTCGTACAAAAATTTGAAGCCGTACAAATAATAACCCGTGATTGTCAATGTAACAATTGAAAATGCACAACTCAACATAAGTCTCCATTGATCCTTGTTTGGCAAAAAACGATTATCTTTACATAAGGATAAGAACATAGGCAAACTAAATATCAATGGATACAATCTAAAATGCACGGATATGCCATGAAACAATCCAGCTAATAAAACTTTATCTCGCTGTAATAAATCTAATGTGAGTGTAACTAAAAAAACAGCCAACGAATCCGCGTTACCTCTTGTCGTGATCACCAAAGTTAATGGATTGTAGAGCCATAAGAGCGCACAGAGATTTTTGAGAGCCTCATTACATCTCTGTCGTGCGAGGATATTTCTAATCAAAATTGCAATTAGTATATCTATTATGGAAAATAAAATCTTTCCAAAGTCTTTGTATAGTATGATATTTGGTGTCAAAAGCCAAGCCAAAAACGGCGAATAACGATAAGTATGACGCTCGAACGGTGATTGTTGCTCTATTACATGCCTAGCAGCATCAGTAAATACTTTGTAGTCCACATCTGTGTACGGTACAGTAAAGTACTTGTCGTGGAAATTGGCATACAGTATCAAGATTAATCGTACAACAAACGCTAATAAACAGTGTGACATAAATGACAGTTTATTCATGTTAGCGCATATGATATTCATTTTCGTATAGATAAAAATAAGATACTAAATTAAACTCACAGATATACACCAATCAATCTTGAAGTTTATAATCTTGTTTATAATCTTGTTTATAATCGTGTATTACGGCTGGCGGCGGCTTTCATAAGGCATTTCTTTAATTCATTAAACTCTGCTTCGCAAACGTTTTTTTCTAAATTGGATTTTGCTAACACGCAAGATGCATACTTTGATGCCGATTCTTGGCATCGAACTAACAAAACTGGATATTGTTTCAATCTCTCTTTTGCTTTTTTTACAGCCTCCATTCTTACATAGAAACTAGTTTGAAATCACTTTAGATTGACCAGAAATTGCTGCTTCTGGTTTAACTTCTGGTTTAGCAAAAAATATATCATAAAGAGGTTTGCTATATAATATACACAAACAAAGTGTTACACCCGAAAGAACAAAGAAATTTGGATAACGATATGCAAAACCTCTATTTCCCCGTGTTAACCTCCTTCCTTCCTTATCCATTGTTTATTTTAAAACTTTTTTCTGAAACAAAATATAAAAAATTCTATAAAATATAATTTCTACAATTTTTTAATAAAACATATATATATTAAACTTACATAATCAACAGTATTATGTTCATATCGTTTAGAAGTATTTATGCCATCACAAACAATAGAGATAGATGAATGTTTAAGACAACATTTTCTTAATTCTTCAATTATTTCTTGACAACGAGAAGGCTGATAGACATTATCTAAAACCAGAAAAATATATTTCTCTTTAACAACTCTTACAATAAATTTAGATGTTTGTTACATCATTATTTGTTTTGCATTGTTATATATATATTTTATTACATTATTATTTCAATTAATGTATTAATGTATTAAAATATAGTTTCCTACTGGATTTAATTCATCATTTCTTTTTCAAGAAATAAGGTTAAAAATATATATATAAGTATTTTATATACTTTAATAGATTAAATAATATAAACCTTTCAAGCACTTTTGCAGTTTGCATGCAAATGGTTTACAAGGATCGACTGTCGTCATACAGAATAATAAACCTTAAATCCTTTTCAACACATGTAACTCAATATAATCTTATATAATGCAGATGCATTCCAAAGTTCGGAAAGTTAGATTAGGTTAGGATATTGCGAGTCCATAGATCATATATTTACATAGAATAACCTAACCTAACCACTTTCACAACATTTTTCTCTGTGCACTTGCGCATGCGCGAGGTTTGTTCCTTTATCTGACAGTAACCATTAATGATAATTCCTAAGTATAAAAGGTGCAACTAAAATGAACTGACTTTTAGGTGACGTATGATAAACGTATGGTACCGGAATAAAAGGAAAACAGATATGCTTGTAATTTTCGATATATTTTTTATCTGTTATTTCATTATTTCTAAGTGTGCTCCTGTAACAAAATGTTGTCGTTAGACTGTCTGCTTTGTTACGGAATATTACTGGCTATATTTATTATAATTTTGGTAAATATATCAAAATTTTCTGTCTTATGTTTATACTTTTTTCAAAGAGCTTATTTTGTGCATATAATTTAAGGAATAATTATACAATATTTTATAAAAATTATGAATCATTATTTATATGATATAATTTTTTTTTTATGTATAAATATAAATGTTTTAGCTTTGCATAACATTATATGTAACAAGTGATCGCTATCCCAAAATTTGGAGGGATGAAAATGAAAAATTCTTTTTCAACTGCCAAACAGAAGTGAGAGAAGCATTTCCTTCATTACATGATCCTTGGAGTGTACATCTCAGTGTCATTGTACCTGCTTACAATGAAGAGCAAAGACGTAAGGTTCATTGCACAAATGTGTTATTTATATTTTATGTATTTATACATATATATATGTATAATTTTATTTTATTTAATAGTGCCAACAATGTTGGATGAATGTTTGGAATATTTAGAGAAGCGTGCAAAGTCTGGATTTACTTATGAAGTAATAGTAGTTAGTGATGGTAGTACAGATAAAACTGTAAATGTTGCGCAGTATTACGCATCAAAATATAATACACTGAGGGTGTTAAATCTTGTTCAAAATAGAGGGAAAGGTGGTGCTGTAAGACTGGTTAGTAAATTTGATAACTAAATTTTATGTATAATATATGTGTAAAAATATTTTTAATTCTTGATATATTAAGTTTTTGATCTAATTGACATTTAAAATATTTTCATATAAAATTTAACATTTTATTGTGTGTTTTAAGGGTATGCTGAGTGCAAGAGGCAGTGGTTTGTTATTTGCAGATGCAGATGGTGCTACCAAGTTCAGTGATCTAACAAAATTAGATGAGAGTTTAGCAGAAATTTTAGGATGTAAGTTATATTGAATATGTGAAAAGAAAGTAAAATTCTACCATTATATTATTTATAGATTATATATTTATATTTAGAAATAATTTTATTATTCTTATTATTACAAATCTTAGATTATTAATTTTAGTTTATTATTGTTTTAGTCGATTATACAAGCAATCCTGAAAAAACAGCACTATCAGACGCGATAGTATGTGGCTCAAGAGCGCATTTAGAAAAAGAAGAAACTGCAAAGCGATCTTACTTTCGACTGTTTCTTATGCATGGATTTCATTTTTTAGTCTGGTTATTGTGCGTAAGAGGCATTAGAGATACGCAGTGCGGATTTAAACTTCTAACAAGAAAATCAGCGAGAAGAATATTTGAAGCGTTACATGTTGAACGCTGGGCTTTTGATGTAGAAATGCTTTATATTGCACAAACTCTTAACATTCCTGTAACTGAAATAGCGGTAAATTGGACGGAAATTGAAGGATCCAAGATAATACCGTTTTGGAGTTGGTTGCAAATGGGCAGGGATTTATTCTTTATCTGGCTTAGATATAGTATCGGCGCATGGAAAATAAATAAGCCCAAAACAATCTAATATTAAGTGGTAAGTTTATTGAATCTTTATCTTTGATCGATCTTTCTTAATCTCTTTTTGTAAAAATGTTTTTATACAATAAAATGTATAATTATAGTATAGAATATTATATAATATTTCTATATATGGTTATATATATATATTATATAATATTTCTATATAATATGTGACCTCTGTGGTATTAGATATATATATAAATATATTTCCCATAAATACAGAGTAATGACTATAATATTAATTAAATTCATGAAAATTCATAAAAGTGAAAAAAAATGAAAATTTATGAATTCTTTTTATTGCATGTTTAAGTACTTCAATTACTGAAAATTATGCTTATTAAAAAAACTTTTAAAAATAATTGTTTTAAATGGCGCGCAATAATAGCACTTACGGCAAACTCACAAATTATAACGTCACAATGAACCAACCGCCCAGTGACAAGTTTACCTTTACCTACTCTTGCGCAATACAAATTGTCAGCGTCAGCGTATTAGATAAACGTACATAGTGACGCGTGACGTGTTCGCGAGTACAATCACGTCTTGAGGAAATTTCGGCCTAAAGTGATTACGTTCTTTAGTAATTATCAGCAATTACCTGGCATTTTCATTGTGCAAAACGTCGCAGAAGATATATTAGTATTAGATCTTGTCGTTTTCTTGCTACTTTCTCGCGAGGGCCGGAAAAATGTCTTTCGTCTCGCCCATGCCCAGCCGAGAGTTTCTTTGGAGTGTATTTCAAAGGTAATCTGCAAGCACTGTAATCACGATATAAAATGTGCTATCTCATTAAAAATCTTGCATAGTTATTTTCTGTCGTAATAAATATTCCTTTCTTTAAGATTTTTATCAGCTTCTAACCTATACAAATTTTGCATTTGTTATTCTTGCAACAGTACTGCATATATTCAGCGAAATTTTATTTTTTTATTCTAATATTATTGATAACAGACTAAAGATTAAAATGAAAATGTTAACTTTGTAGTTAATATCATTTAATTTTTATTTTATATAAAGCGATAATTAATGTCTTTGTGTCAGGGTGGACAGAGATGGATCTGGTTCAATTACTGCAGATGAATTACAACAAGCTCTTTCAAATGGCACGTGGACACCATTTAATCCAGAAACTGTTCGTTTAATGATCGGTAAGATACATATTTTCCATATATATTTTCAAATGACCATGTAAATTTTTTATTTGTACATCATTATATATATAATTTTCTTGTAATTGCTTGTTAATACATTTGCATGTAAATTATTCTGCAGTGTTAAATTTAAAGTCTAATATTTATTAGTTTTATTAGTGCTAGAAGAAGAAATGTGTGCCTGATATTGAACATTAATTCTTTTTAAATTATAGTAGAGCATAATTTTTGTTATTATGAGATAGTAGATTGCATTGTGATATTAATTTGCATGGTCTTTTGGTATTACTATCATTTTGTTTCTTAACTTTGTTGACACAGGTATGTTTGACACTGACAAAATCAATCCTACTACAGGTATGTTTGATAAGAACCAAAATGGTACAGTGAGTTTTGAGGAATTTGGAGCATTATGGAAATATGTTACTGATTGGGAGAATTGTTTTCGATCATTTGATCGTGATAACAGTGGTAACATTGATCGCAACGAATTGAAGACTGCTCTTACAAATTTTGGATATCGACTAACAGATCAAACAATTGACATGCTTATACGAAAGTATGATCGTGCAGGACGTGGAACAATATATTTTGATGACTTTATACAGTGCTGCATAGTATTATATGTAAGTATATATGCTTATGTATATGCATAACAATCTAAATTATACCACTGGATATTAAGTTGTTTTATCTTGCCTAAAAATATATATTGATTTTTATATATAAAAACTATCATAATTACTATGAATTAAAGTGTTTAAGTGAGTAATTGATTATAAATTATAGATTATAGATTTTAAATCATATGATTTAATTGCTTGAACAGCTGATTATTTAATATACTTAATTATCAATTTTAGAAGTATTCACATTCCTTGTGAAGCTGAAATAATATAATAACTATATTCAATATAATTAATATAATTAATATTATTTAATATAATAACTGTATTTTTCTATGTTTAGACTTTAACATCAGCATTCAGACGGTTGGACACAGATCTGGATGGTGTTATAACAATCCACTATGAACAATTTTGGGCATGGTGTTTAATCTTAAGATATAAACGCCACATATTTTCTTCATGCCAATTTTGGTAACATGTTACTTAAAATATAAAGATATATTAAGATGCCAAACATAAAAATAAAAATTTCCAAAGTTGTCAGAATCTCCAAATTAAAATTTACAATACAGTACTTTATACAGGTATCTATCTCTTAACACATTATTAATAAAGTTTGATCAAAGTATCAAAGATTTTATTACGAATTAAAATATAGATTTAGGTAATTATTAATATATAAATTATATAATACATGTAATGATTGCAGTTTATTATGCTTATACACATGTGCGTATATGTGTGCATCAATGATATAAATTATAACTTCATATGTAACATTCTTGGTTTTTATGATATATGCTATACTTTTTTCTGATGAAAAAATATATAAAAACAATAAATGTTCAAAAATTAATCATTTGGAAATTCTGAAATTGTGTGATAAATGTTAATTGTTTCATGTGACATAAATAATAAATGTTAATTGTTTCATGCAGACCATAAATAATTAATATTATAAATGTTTGAAAGACATAATATTAATTATGGAAGACTTTAAATTTGATTGTATAAATATAACTTCTAGTATTATTGTTTACATATAAATTATAAATTACAAATGTAAATATACGTTTTTTTAATAATTTTAAGTAACGATAAGAAAATGAAAAATATATATATCTTGTATTTTTTAACATAATATTGCTACAATTGTTATATATTTATTAATAATTTTATCGATATATACTATATAAGTGATATAGTTATGTATTTTTCTACCTTATTATTATATTGATTCAATTATAACAAACGCATCATAAAAGAAATATATTTATTTTACTAAACAATTTTCTTGTCTATTTTAAGATGAGATCAGAAGTTGTAGTAAATTGTAAATATAAAAAATTTAAATACAAAATAAACTTCATTACTCTAGCAGATTAAAGGCATAAAGAGCAAGAATAGATTAATGCAACATAACTAGTCACTTTATTGAAACATTTATTTTAATAATAACTTTAATTTTATTTTTACAAGATCCTAATAGTTATTTTTTTCCTTCAGATTTACAGCTCCTAGAGGTCTGTTGACGTATTGAAGCATTTATATCTCTTTCACAATTGGAATATGCCATCCCTAATCCAAAGCCAGCACCAATTATAATGGGCCATCTTCTTCCTATAAAGAGAAAATACGAAATATTTATATATTTTTCTATATATTCAACTTTAAAATAACTAAAGAATAATTTGCCAAGAATAATATGCAATTCTTTTGAATTTATTCTTTTTTTTTATCAATTAAATCTAAATATGTATTTTTTTATATCCAAACATATTGCTATTATTTGTGTCAAATTATCTAGTAAAAATATATGCATATACATACATATATGTATATCTTTAGGTTATAATTTACAAAAGTAAATTAAAAGATAAAAATTATAAAAAATATTCTGTGAAAACTGTATTATAAACAAAACAAAATGCAAGTTTAATCAGATTTTTAAAAATTAATGATTTTTCGAAGAATATATAATTCATAACATGCAATTCTTTAAATTTGTTTCACAGAGTGTTCAACTAAATTTTGAGAGAAAGCTAATGTTAAATGTAATAATATATATTTATAATGTCATAAATACAATAGAGGTTTGTTCTTTGTAGCAGATTTTGCATATACACAAACAATTTGTTTTTCTTTTCTTTCCAATTTCTAAATGTATATTTTATATTAGTGTACACTAACGCATGAAGTTTAACTTCAAAGAACAAACCTGTTAATTCTGGGAGGACAGAGTTATAATAATAACTGTAGTTACATATCACAAGAATGTTATGATATTACGTATCCATAAAGCGAAGTCTTACTTTTGAAGAAAAATAGAGAGAACACTCCGCCAAGGACTACACCGCCGCCTGAGAAAAAACACAAATCCGTGAAATAGCGTTGCAAAAAATATATCTGTCTTCGCGGATATTTCAAAAATGTTAATTACTTAGTTTGAGAATAGCATCCGTGAAGCAACGGTCCCACTTTCGCCCGATCTCGTCCTCGGCCCACACGGCGCCGGCCATTTTCGTGCTAGAAAAGCTGTTGCTGTTACGTCATTCACGCCAGACATTCACGTGCATCTAATCTGTTATATCGATCTTCGCGTCTTCGCGTTTCTCCGTTTCGTTTTCGCGCAGTCACATAATATATTCAAGAATTGCGAAATAATAATTATAAGAGAACATTGAAAATGAAGTCCTTCATATATATAAGAATTTTCATCGAAGTATGGAAATGTATTTTTGTAAAGCGCGCTTGTTCCCTCACGCTTGCCAACTCGAATTATTTGATATATTCATTGTCAGTACACAGTCACGAGCACATTCTTGTGCACATGCGCGCAGTTATTAGCATAATAAAAGAACAGCTGTGTCTTCATATTTATACGCGATTGGTCAGTTTCTTCGTGCGAGAAATTATCAAACGAGATAGAAAATGTAAATTATCTCATATTTAGTGTATGGACAGTGCATGTATTTTCATTTAATTTTCTTTTAATTTCTTGTGAGTGTTGCGTGTATGATAACAAACTGAATTCGAAGCCGGCAAGCGGGACGTGAGTATCGGATAGAAGAATTTTGTCGGACCACGTGACTTTGACAGCTGCATACTTTTTTGCATCATTCAATCGACAAAGATCTCGTATAAATTTGTTTTCATATTTTTATCGCTCCCATATGACGGACCAAGCGATCACGTGACCACTCGGGGTCGCGGAGTCACGTGACTCCCGCGCATGCGCGGAAAGCTCCCTCTGTCCGTCAGCACTGGAGGACGTCATTGCGGTTGACAGGCCTGCCGGTGTCCGTAGCAACTCAATTCACTCATGTCCCGTCGAGCGTGAGGGGCAGGATCGCTGTCCCGTCGTCCGCGAGGATTTAATCGCGAGTGAGACGAGTTTCCGGGAATCTGTGACGGTGCGAGATCGCGCGCGGACGACTCCATGTAACGCGAGGACGTCGCTGCGACAATCGTGTCCGCCGTCTGCGAGTGAATAGTACGGAACGACGAGAGGAGAAAGAAAGAAAGAGAGAGAGAGAGAAAACGAATATGTGAGTGAGCGAGAGAGAGCAGCACGTTTGTCAGAATTCGGCGTCGGTAGTGATATAACAAATAAAAAGATCTCGTGTATCGAATCGAGTACTCGAGTAGGAGATTCTCGAGAAGCGAAAGAGTGCATCGGGAAGCGAAAGGAAAAAAGAAGAAAGATATATACGCGCGTGCGACACGCGTAGGTGGACGGAGGGATCCTAGGGAATTTTGGCGTCGCGCCGTTGCCTGTCCGCGAGCTCTCCGCGTATCAGCCGAGTGAAGTCGCGTCGAGTCGCGTCGAGTCGAGTCGAGTCGAGTCGAGTCGAGTCGAGTCGAGTCGAGTCCCCCGCTCTGGATCGCGGGGCGAGTTGGCGCGGGCGCGCGTAAGTAATGGAGGTGTCGAGAACCGCGGGACGCGCTCGCAGCAGCAACATCATCAGCGGGAGCGACAACGGCGGCTACGGTAATGCCGTGCTGGGTCGTCCGAGCGTCGCCAGAGCGTGAGTTTTCGCGCGACTCCTGTCGTCGACTGTCGTCCCGGCAGCCGGCATCTCGGCGGCGGTCGCCGGCCACGAGAGACGGCTCGAACCTGCTATGGGATCATCGTTCGGAGCGACGACGCCGTTCGACGCCGCACCGAGCCACGTCCTACGATCCCGTCCGCTCCCGTGACGCGAAGAGCCGGGAAGAGGGAAGAAGCGCGTCCTGGATACATATAACGCGTCTGAGTGTCCGTTCCTCGGAGTGTAAATAACACTACTGCTACTGGAGCTTTTGGAAGAGGAAAGCCGCGCCGGGCGCGAGAGGTTAGGAACTCGGGAATTGATTGCCCCTGCGAGGTGGCATCGTCCGTCGAACTCTGACAGTTAACCAGCTTCCCCCCCCCGGCACACTCCTTCTCCCCCCCTCGCCCCCACCCTCTTCGCCACCGCCTTCCCTTCCGCCCCTACACATCTCTAGTGTACACCGCGCCCGCGCGTGCCCTTTTCCGCTCGCGGAAACTGCGACGAGTATAAGTGTCGTGTTCTGTTCTGTGTGGTGCCTCGTCGTGCCTCCGCGAGTTCTCCCAGGGGGGCACACGGGAGAATTATGCCCTGCGCGGGGATCGATCCCCGTCGCTGATATACGGAAACTTCGACGTCGTCGCCGGCGAGCTAGTGCGGTGAAAAAAAAAGGAAGAAAAAAATCGTGCGACTGCGTGCTCGATCCCATCCGTCATCGGAGTTTTACGTGCAACCGCAATCGTGGATAACAACGGCAGGTACGAGATGCAGAAACGGGAAGGAAGAGAGAACCGCGCGGAGAAGGAGCTTGGGGCGCGCAACTCCGAGCGCGAGCAGGAGGTCGCCAAGCGGACCTCCAGGGGCAGCGGGAACGCCGCCCGGTCGAACGTGCACTCGTCCCGGCACAGCGTCACCTCGTCGTCCGGCGTGCTCATGGTCGGCCCGAACTTTCGGGTCGGCAAGAAAATCGGCTGTGGAAACTTCGGGGAGCTTCGTCTCGGTGAGTCTTTTCGACCTTCCGCTCATTTCCCGAGAATCGCTCGTTTTCGAAAGAAATAAAAAGAGACCGATTACGTCACGAAATGCTATCTTTCAAAACGATCATTAAGAAGGTGCACAGTTTTTGTCTCATTATTGCGACAGTCGAAGCATGGTATAATATTATTTTTTTTTTACAGATGGGAAAACTGTTTCATAATTCGCGATCTCGATTTTAATGATAAACTTTCTGAATTTAGAATCTATTTTTTCTTAGCAATAATTTATAAGAAAATTGACACAGTAGATGAGAAATATATTGCATTTTTTTCATTAATCTCTGTACCTAATTAACTTCATATTTTGACAGAATCTTAATTTGAGTCTCCGTGATGAAAATATATAATATCGAAAAGATTGTGATAAGTGACCTTTCTTGATATTTTCATGTCGAGGAAAAATTTATTCTAAACTTGTCAAAGAAATGTCATTCTTGTCAAATTAAGATTACGAGTTATGAGACACTTTTTTTATATATAAAAAAACTTCGCGTATACGATAAAAATCCATTTCGAGAATAATTTTGAAAATAAATTTCTTTCTAAAATGATTGATTCGATCAATAATATATATGCATTTACGTTGAATATTTTTTCTTATTGTTAGAAATCTCCCGATATCTTTTTTATATTTTTATATATCTTAAGTCGATTCCTCTTTCTTATCAAGAAAGATACCGAATCGTAGGATCGATGCCAATCTATGATTATCATCGCGAAACTAAATAGACGAGAGAAAATGAGATTTGCCACACACACACACACACATTCAAGAGATTATTAAATAAGAAATATTACTATGATAAATTAGGTTTATTTATTATGAATACATACCACTGAAAAAAAAATTTGTTAACTGGACTAAACCTTCCAACTAAATTTACTTTTTTGTTAATTGAACATATATTAATATTTAAGTCAAATATACGTTTTGTTAGATTTAATATATTGCATTTAATTTGAATATTTTTATATGTTTAATTAACAAAATAATATTTAATTGAAAGGTTTAATCAAAGTTAACAATTTTTTTTTCAGTGCACGATATATGAACTTAGAGTTACGAAATAATAATTTCGAATTACAAATTCGTAAAACAGGAAATAGATATTCCGAGAAAGGAAATTTTGAAATGATGTCAGACATGAGAATAATTTGTTTTTCATTCTTCGCGTAAATTAAAAAATAATCAAAACTTAAATTTATTCACGTGTTTAGCATTTTTAGTCACGCGCATAGAATTATTAAGTAATGTTCACCATGTTATTGCGATCTGTTTTCGTAATAACAGTGTGTGAAATTAGAAATTATCAATCCCTCGCGAGATTCGCGCCGTTTCTCCGTGACCGATGACGCATGTCGAAAACAATGATTCTAACATCGGGAGAGGCTAACGCTCTCTCGATTATCACGCCAATGGCATAATACAAAGTGATTCTGCATACTGACGTTACTATATGTAGGCCGGAAGTCTGCAAATATTGATGCTTCTTCCACAAAGTGCCAACGTGTTTTCATAATCATTAACCGCAAACAGCACAACTTATTTTTCACTTATAAAAAACTATAAGATTTATATATAAATATATAAATTTTATATATAATTTATATATTATTTTTATATATAATTTAATTTTATATATAATTATATATAAAACTAAATATTTAACCTGCGTTCTCTTTAATTAATAAAGAAAAGTATATAATAACTAGCTTAAAATTAAAATTAGTATCGAAATATAATTATTTTCCCTTTAAAAACTCTCGAGAATTTGGAATAATTCACCGAAAAAGAAACTGCTCTTCTTTGGTATATCAAAATACTTTATCTTCTTTAGAAATGTGATGTTTCTCAACAGAGAAATCTCTTTTACTGTGCTGACGAAATAGGCTGACACAGCGAAACGGCTTTGCAGCTTTGATGCTCTTAGAGGAACATCTTGGTAACGTTTCATCGCGCATTTCCAGACTGCGATGCTCGGGGAAGCATTAAATTTTCTAACGTAATGACCACCGTTGTTACTACAAAAGCGTTCGTGCGGAAAATCCTGCAATGTTTGACTCTGCACAGTTTATACGAGTTGCGATTTTGCTAAGGCATTATTACCCATTCATAATGATGACTTTGTTGTTAGTCATAGCCGCGCAAACAACACGTTCAGTGTCATCGCGCGTTGTCGACGCGATTTGCTCATTATATCGTTTGTGATAAACCAGTAATTACTATCATAGGATATTAATATATCGTTATATCAGAAAAGATAACGAAATTTATCTTGTAACCTGTATAGTTTTGTGCGTGTACCGCACAGATTAAGCCCAACACAAAAGATTAAAGAAATACCTAAAGAGAATATTAGAACAATAAATCAATTTCTCCCTAAAAAGAGAGAGTGACATGTAAATTGTACATGTAATTTAATTTTTAAGTCTTCGAATTAGATAGCATTTTTATTTTTTCAAAATTATGAAAAAAAATAATCAAAATTCATCTTAAAGAAATTGAAATAAATTCTTCTTTTTAATATGGTTAGTGACCATTTTTGTTTTAATTATTTTATTATTTTATAATTTATTCTTTGTTTATTTAAAAAAATAAGACATTTAAAATTAAATTTGTAGTACTGGAATATTAATGTATCGTACAGTATATAGCGTGTGTTTGTAATTCGTAAATACGCTATCTCTGTTGCGAACTCTTGTACAAGCGTGTAAGTGCGTCTGTATCATCATCATACCAATGAGATAGACTGCGAATGAGATAGACACATTGCATCGTGGCCACTCTAATAGAATTGATAATGTCCAAGACAGTCAAATGACCATCGTACAATAGCAATTTTTATCTCTTCAAAATGAATTTAAAGGCTTTTCATTATAAGAAGTTTACCTTTAGTAGAATCTCCACATAATATCTAACAATAAGTCTGCTATTAACTATTTTACATTCTTATAACTATACACAATACAATAGGTACAAATGTAGGTATATTTTATATTATAACATTTTTAAAATGCTTTGGATAAGAAAAAGATAACTTTTTTCATTTTTATCTATTGATTTCGTCATATTAGATTAGCTTTAGAATTATCAGTGAAAAGAATTGTACAAATAAATTTATATAATTAAATAATTGAAACAAAATTATCACTAATATTATTAAAAAATACTTATTTTGATTCTTTTTTTTTTAGACGAATTTTGACTATTTTTCATAACTTTAAACAAATAAAAATGCTATTATCAAATTCAGCGACAAAAATATAATACTACATGTACAATTTACGTTACATAATTTATACGGAAATATATTTTATTTTATCCTTTGATTTTCTGTGTAAAATATAACATTTATTTGATGTAAATGTAGAAAAGATAACTCTTCGTATCTTTTTTCCCTGACGACATCGCGTAGCGAATGAGAGAATTTTCAGAAACCGCTCTTTGTGATTCATCTTTGAATACTTGTGGATGAATATCTGTACGGTTCTCTCTTCCATTGGGTGCCTTCTTGAAATGCTTGTCGTGACCGGCGCGTGAGAGTCTGTGCTTCACATGAAAAATATATTTAAAATTTATCGAACGGTTCTACACTATAAATGACAATCGAGTTAGATATTGCGTTACATATTTTTTCTCGCGAATGAACAGTTACGCTTAAAATTAAATACGAAAAAATAAAATTCTGTATCGAAAGTAGATTTTATTCTAATACAATTAAAAATTAATAATATAGGAAGAGATTCAATTTCCAATTCGATAATATGGAAAAAGATAGCGTCTAATTAAATTCTCACCAAAAAAATTAACTCCAATTTCCTCAAAATTATAAATCTGACGATTAATATATATCTTGTGAAAATAAAAATAACACAACTATATTTTACGCAAGGCACGAGAACGGTAGAGTTGCGTTTGGTGAATTTGGTGACATCTGATATACCGTTAATAACGGTATGAGTCATTGATAATTTTAAATTGCCTGGCCACATTGCATCGTCTTGTTTTTTTTGCTCGCACTGTCGTGACTATGCATTATTAATCTTTCCTTTCATTGACGTTCGTCAAACAATCGAGAGCGTCGAAATATGAATAATTTCTTTCTCGAGAGACAGATGATTCACGTCTCGAAAATATTTCCCACATTTTCCATGCTGCTCAGAAATGATTTTCCCGCTCTTTTAACGACAACATTGATGATTACATCAGTACAGTAACGACGCGAACAACACACTCGACACCGGGATGAATCGGAGCCCTTCATTGGCTTGACCAGCTGCCTCGCGCAATGAGAGACACGCGTATGTCGTTAATGTTGTTATGCATGCGTTATCAGTTTATCGCCTACCTCGTGCTTGTCTTGTCTCACTCGCTCGAGGGTCATAAATGCGTTTACTCGCGGCAATTGACTCGCCGCGCGCGCACCAAGTACGAATCCCGACTAAAATTGTCGGCAAATTGCTTTCCGGACTGCTGCTGCTACATCGCACCGAGTTTGGACCCGAATCGTATACCTCGTTGACCCAATTTCAAACCCCGATTGCACAACTCGAGATTTTTAGAAGCTACATAGATATATACAGGATACAGTTGCGCGCATAACTACGCTAGTAATCATTAATTTACGCTTTATTGAGAAAATTAATTTTTCGGCAATCAAATAAAAGTAAATTGCGATTATAAAGTTTTTATATGTCAAATACAATTTTTCTAAAAATATGCACACAAAAATTATTGACAAATTTCAATTTATATGTTAATTTTTTTGATACTGTTATCTTGTAGATCGATTGGCAATACATCTCGAATAAATCTTCAAGTTAAAGTATCACGTATAAAAATAGGGCAATTTATGTGTAGAGAAAAGCGTGAGTCACTTTATATTGCTAAGTATATGATAAGGTCTCTCTCCGTTTTTTTTACGCAGCAATCTTTTTCCACGACAGCCGGAACTGTAATATG